GCCTCCCAAATGTGTATACACTTTCATCACATAACAAATCCTCTAATCAATTTGACAAAAAAAAAAAAAAAAAAAAAAAAAAAAACAAGAAATAAAATAATGATTCTTCAAATCCTTATTTACTTAAGTGCAAATGGAAAATGCGCGAGGATTTAGAAAATTAATTTTTTTAAGCTGACAAATTTTATTCTCTTTTATTAATTGACCACGAAATAAAAGACCATTCGAAACGGGAAAGGTAAACAAAATAATTCAAATAAATTTATTAAATAAAAAATAAAAATAAGAAGAGGGAAAATAACTTATTTTTTATTTATTTTATTTTCTCTCTTCTTTTTTTTATTATTCTTCTTATCTAGAAGAAGAATAAAGAACACAAAATAAATACAAAAAATACAAAAAAGAGTAAATAACCCATAAATTAAAGAAATTAATATTATAAGTAGAGAAATAAATAAAAAATGAATAATATAAATAAAAAAAAGATAAAATACTTTAGTGACGTCCACAACGTTCAAATTCGACAATTTAGGTGAAAAACTATTTTTTAAATCAAATTTTAAAATTATAATCACTTAAAAGAAGATAAAATACTTTAGTGACGTTCACAACGTTTAAATTCGACAATTTAGGTGAAAAACTATTTTTTTAAATCAAATTTTAAAATTATAATCACTTGAAAAAATTTGTAAACAATTTTTCCGATCATTTACTTCTAAAGAGAAAAATTTTATTATCTTCCATGTGAAAAATAATTCCTCCAATATAAACATTGTAAATAAAATTTTGCCTCACTGGGAAAACAAACAAAATGTTAAAAATAATTAAAAATCAGGAAAATAAATAATTAATATAAAATAATTAAAAAATAATTTGATGAATAAAAATAAATAAAAATAAATGAAAATAAATAGAAAATAAATGAAAGTAAATAGAAATAAATGAAAGTAAATAAAAATATTTAAAAATAAAATAACTATAAAATATATAAATAATAGATGAAATAAATAAATAAAACAATGTTTCCGTGAGGAAGCATAAAACATAAAAAAATAAAAATATACTTAAATAAATAAAAATAAATAAAATTAAATTAAAAAAAGCTGAAAATAAAAAGTCGACAATGCGAAAGGAAGCAAACAAAAAAACATCACAAGGAGTAAAGAAAACAAAAAGCAGAATAATTAAAGAATAATCATAAAAGAAAAAATAATAAAGAATCGTAAAAGCAGACTTTTTTTTAAGATATAATAATAAGAAAAAGAAATAAAAAAAGAATACTCCGAATTAAAAGAAGGAAAAAAATTGAAGAAAACTAAATTAAAAATAAAATCACGCGACGAAAACAATTTTGAAGTAACTAAAAACTTTTATCGATAAATTACCTATCAACAAGCAAATTAAAAAAAAATATATCAATTGAAATTTATACAAATATTAATATTTAAATTAATTAATTAATTTAATTAATATAAATAAATATAAATAAACATATATAAATATTTTTATTTATGCGACTAATGATTATATTTTTTCTCTTTCTTACAATTTCGTCAACTCTCGTCATTTTTAGTTTATTTATTCTTTATTTCTTTTCATTATTTACTCATTTTTTAATATTTATTTATTTTTTACTATTATTATTTACCTTTTTATTGTTTTTAATTATTAATTATATTATATTATTTACTTTTTTTGTTATTTTTATTGTTTATTATTTCTACAATATCACATTGGACAAAAAACGAGAAAATTATAATAATAAAATTAAATCACTAATGATTAAAATATTTTTTCTGTCTTATAAAAATCACTCGGACGTTAAAGAATTTACTATAATATTTTTTTCTGTTTGTTGTAATTTTCTTAAAATCCGTAACTTTACACCCAGAAAAAAATATATTTGACTCAGAGCCAACTAAACTTTTTCTTTTGGTTTAAATAAAATTTTTCTCTGGGTGTAGATTACTTTTTTTTATTATTACTATAATATTATAATAATTAGTTGCCTATTAATGATCCTCGATTAAGAACTATATTTTTTTTTTAAAAAAAGATGTCGATGAAGTTCATCAACGATTAAAAGAAAAAAAAATTTCTTCTTTACGAAAACAAGTTTTTCTTTTGTTTACAAATTTTCCTTTTTTTTAATAATCGATCAAAAAACTAAGAAAAAATTTTTGTACACAAAAATTTGAATAGAAAAATATTTTTATTTTTAAATCGTTGATTATAAACGTTGTCATCTTCACCAAAGTTAAAAAAGAATAATAATAATAATAATAAATAAATTTTGGTAAAAAAAATGCTTTCATGAGAAATTATTAAATAACAAATAAAAATAAATAAATGATTAGACAAAAAAAGAGAAAATAATAATAATAATAATAATAATAATAGTAATAATAACAGTAACAAAAATAATACGAATAGCAACAGTGATAATAATAGTGACAATAATAAAAAATAAAAATATAATAATAAATGTGGTAATAATAATAAATAATAATAAGAATAATAATAGTAATAGTAATAATAGTAATAATAACAATAATAATAAGGAATAGGTCGGGAGGTTACTTGATTACACGCTTAACGAGATAGACGTATCCGGTGACGGTTTGACCTGGATAATGAGATATTTGATGAACCCAAGAATTAGGAATGTGATGATCTCAATATAATTAACCATCTACTTGATTCAAACACCTCAAGTAAATTTACCTAATATATATAAATATACATATATAATATACTCATCGTCCCAAACAAGAAACAACAACAACAACAATAGTAAACTAATAATTTCAAATTCAATCCGCTAATAAAATCAAAGTTTGCCATTTAACATCGAAACCCCTACAATATTAATTTATTACTATTTTCTTTTTTTATTTACTTATTTATTTATTCATTTATTTATTATTTTTTTTTTTTTTTTTTGTAGAAAAGAGGGAAATTGATTTACGCAAGAAAATAATATATAGATTCAAGTCCGCAACTTTATATCCATATATATATATACGAGGAGAGGTTGCTTAATCCCAGTTTCTATAATGAGGGTAGTCGACAACTTCAAATAAGATCCAATCTTTCTTTTACACACACACGATAAATTTTCATTTAATCAATATAAATTTGAACGTTTTTTCGAATTCAAAATTTATCCTTTATTTACAAGGAAAAAAAAAGAAGGAAAAAAATTTCTTAAATTTAATACTTCTTACATTTAATTCAGTTTTTACTGAAATCAATTAAAATTTGTTTGGATTTTTAATTTTTGCTATCAAATTTTTTCCAGCACATGAAGCGAACATTTAATTTGTTTTTCGGTATTGAATTTATTTAACTATTTATTTAAATTTACTTCTTTTTATTGCTTTTCAGTTATTTTTAGATAGCGAATTTGTTTTTATTTGAAAACTAATTTTTATTATTTTAGAAAAAGTTTTTTATTTAGAAACATTTTTTTTATTCAGAAAAATAGTTTTTTTACTTAGAAAAATATTTTCAAAAAATTGTTTTCTTATTTAGAAAAATAGTTTTTTATTCAGAGAAATATTTTGTTTGTCAGAAAAATATTTTGTTATTCAGAAAAATATTTTGTTTTCCAGAAAAATATTTTGTTTCTTCAGAAAAATATTTCGTTATTCAGAAAAATATTTCGATATTCAGAAAAATAGTTTTTTTTTTATTTAGAAAAATGTGGAACTTTTTTTTTTTTGTTTAGAGAAATATATTTTAGTCACATTCGTTTGAGAAAATAACTTCTGATAATTATGAACAGTGCGTGACTGAAAATCTAGAAAAATATTTCACTCTTCCGTGAATGTAAATCAATGTAAAATTATAGTTATAAAATGCAATTTTTCTCCTTTCCTCGCGAAGAGAATAATTCAAAATTATGAATAATCACGACGGAAATAAAAATAAACTTCTTTTCCACTCTTTTCCACTCCTTCTTGTCCATTAACAAAAACTTGAAATTCGAAATTGAAAAATTAATCTAAAATAACGTCGGAAATAAAAAAAAACTCTATTTCCAACGAAAAATTGAAATTCGAAATATTAAAATTATTCTAATTTCGGAAATAAAAAAAAAAAACTCCTTCTTTTCCATTAAAAAAATCTTGAAATTCGAAATATGAAAATTAATCTAAAATAACGTTGGAGATAAAAAAAAAATTCTTTTCCATAAACAAAAAACTTGAAAGAGAAAAATTCGAAATATCCAAATTGTAAAAAACTGAACGAATTTGAATAAAAACTGAATTTTATGGATTAAAATTAAAAATCAAAAGAAAAAAAAAACGAAAGGAGAAAACAGCAGAATTCGAAATTATTTTTATTCCACAGAAATAGAATAATTTCCGTCGAATCGAGGAAATAATTAAGAGAAACAATTCAGGAAGACGAAGAAATATTTTCACAAAAAAGGAGAATTGGAATAAGAACAAGAAACTAATCCCACAAAGAAAGAAACAATGTTACTAACCATGTAATCCGGAGAAAAGGAAGAAAAAAAAAGATAGTAAAACAAAAAAAAAAAGAACTAGTCCTCGGAGATTTTCAAGTTCCACTCAATTCATGAAAATCTTCCCTAATCCATTTAATCACTTGATTAGATCGAATTGATAGGAGTAATAATGTCGGGAAAACAATCGTGACGAGATTAAAAGGAGGGTGCTCCTGATAAAAGAAAAATGTAAATTTCCGAGAGAAGAAATAAAGAAATGCAAAAAAGAGGAAAAATTCACTCCTTGGAAATATCATTGATAATTGATAAATATGATAACTTTTAGTAGCTTCCACACCTATTCATCAGTCCCTCCCTCCCCCTCTTTCTCTCTCTCTCTCTCTCTCTCATCTTCCCAACAATAGATAGCTGTCAATTTGCGATAGTCACTTTTTTTTGTTGTATATATATTCGGTAAAAAAATGAAAAAAAAAAATATTGATTTGTTTTTTTTTTCCAGTCGATGAAAGTGGTGATTGTTTACCTGGAGTAGTTGAAAATCCTAGGCAATGAGAGGCCTATGATGTGTCGAATCTGGCATGGCGCCTCCGGTTGTGTGTCACTCTCGGTGAGGAGGGTTGCAAAAAAACGTCCTTCCTCGGAAGGCTCACCTCCTGGACTGCTGTTGTAGATGAGCCTAGAGCCACTCACACCGACTACCTGGTTTGTGCTCCTCGCAACGTTATTGATCTCGTCCCAGACACCCGTCGACCCACGCAGACGCTTAGCGTTGCCGTGTCGCTTTAGCAACGTGACGTCATTTACCACCCAATCCTCATCCTCTCCTCACTCATGGAGCAACGACTACCTTCTCCTCATTCTCTCTATACTCCGAGAGAGAGAGAAAGAGGCTATATACTTTTCTGCCTCATGCTCCTCTTTCTCTAGCCCTAACTCCACCTTCTGTTTCCTCACCATCTGATTTTTAACCCCTTCTTCCTCTCCTCTCTCTCTCTCTCTCAACTCTCCTTTTTTTTCATCACTCTGCCACATTTTCTCTCCTTGTTTCTCTCTGTGTGTGAGGTTCACATCTCTTTACTGACAGTTGCCAGTCTCTCTTTCTCTTCCACTGTGTACAAAAGCATCTCATCCCTTATGCCTATACATATCTTTAAATCCTTTCTAAACCCATTGCTGCTAGTTGTTTTCCTTCTAAATTGATGGATAACCACTTCAATTGAATACTTTTTCTTCTCTTTTCGCTTATTTTTGTACTATTTCTCCTGCTTCTTCTTCTATTTTTATTCTTCCTCTTTTTGGTATTCTTTCTATTTTTCCTCTTCTTCTTGGTACTCTTCCTCTTTTTCCTTTTTTTCTGCTTCTTGGTACTCTTCCTCTTTTTCCTTTTTCTCTGCCTCTTGGTATTCTTTCTCTTTTTTTCCTTTTCTTCTGCTTCTTGGTATTCTTCCTTTCTTCCTCTTTTTCTTTTTTCTTCTGGTTCTTGGTATTTTTTCCTCTTTTTCCTTTTTTTCTGCTTCTTGATATTCTTCATCTTCTTCTTCTTCTGCTTTTTCCTCTTGTTTCCATCTTCTTGAACCGAAATGCTCACTTTTTCCAATTTGCAAACGTATCTTAATCAAAAAAAAAAAATACGACAGAATAATTCCCCAAATCTGAAAAATTAATCAACAATTACTTCTTCAAGAAAACTTTTCAAAATTATAACGATTAGAAAAAGAGAAAAAGAAAATTCTGGAGCTATTTACTGTGAACGTAATTTAATTCTTCCGATATTCCTTCTTCTTATTCTTCTACTTCTTTCTCTTCTATTTTCCCTCATTTTTTTCTGTTCGAACCGAAATTCTCACTTTCTGCAAATTCGAACGCATTTCAGTCAAAAGAATCCAAATCTGAGTTTGCTTCTTTCTCTTCTATTTCCTCTAATTTTTTTCTTCTTTCCGAACAGAAATTCGAACGCATTTTAGTCAAAAAAAAAAAAAAAAATACGATCCCCAAATCTGAAAAATTCATCACCAATTAATTTTTTAGTGAATTTTTGGAAACAATTATTACAAATTAGAAAAATAAAAATCTTGTTACTTACTGCAAACGTAATTTAATTCTTCCGCTTTTCCTCCTCTTCTTCTGCATCTTTCTCTTCAATTTTCCCTCACTTTTTTCCTAATCGAATCGAAATTTTTACTTTCTGCAAATTCGAATGCATTTTAGTCAAAAAATTTGAATTTTCTTCTTCTTTTGCTTCTTTCCCTTTATTTTCCATAATTTTCTTTCCTTTTGAGCCGAAATTCGAACGCATTTTAGTCAAAAAAATACAATCCCAAAATCTGAAAAATTCATTAACAATTAATTTTTTGGAAACAATTATTACAATTAGAAGAAAAAGAAAATTCTGGAGTTACTTATTTACTTCAATTTTACGGAATTCCATCGATTATTCGGAAATTCTTCAATCAAATATATATTAAAAAATAAAAATTTCAAATAAATTAAAAGAAATTCAGTTAAAATTAAAGAAAAAAATTAAATAAAATCAAAAGCAAAAAGTCAGTCATTAATTCAAATTAGAATACATTTTTATCAATTCCAATTTAGAGAATTTAATATTCAATTATTATCTAAAATTTCAACTTAAATTCATATTTAAATCAATTTTTATCAGAAAATCCTACGAGAATTCAATATTATTTAAATACAAAAATAAATAATTTATTGAAGAATTAAATGTTTTTTAAAATTCAACTCTCATAAAGAATTTTATCAACAAATTTTTAAATTGGTAATTAAAATTATTTTGACGAACTTCAATAAAATTTTTAAGAATAATTTCATTTTTCGAGAAATTAGATTAAAATTGTATTCAAAATAATTGAATCTCTGTAAAAAAAAATTTGATTGAATTGAGAAAAGTTTTTGAAAATAATTGAAATTTTGACAAGAATTTTATTAAAAGTTTTGAAAATAATTGAATTTTGGAGAAAAATTCTATTATTTATAAAGATAATTGAAATTTGGAAGAGAATTTTAATAATATTTCTTTTAAAAAAATAATTGAATTCTTTTGTGAAATTTTTATTATTTAATTCATTCATTCAAAATCTGAAAAATTCATTGACAATTACTTTTCTAGGAAATTTTTGGAAACTATTATTACTATTAGAAAATGGAAAAAAGAAAATTCTAGAGTTATTTACTGTAAACTTACAAATTTTCCTCTTTGGGAAAATGTACTCTTTATGGCGGAAGTTGTTGTTGTTGTTGTTGTTGTTCAAACTAAAGCCACATTTAATCGAAATTCTCACTTTTCCTTCAAAGATTACATTTGGTGAAGTTCACAACGCTTCACAACGTTTATAATCAACGAATTATGAGGAAAAATGTTTTTCTTTAGACAAATTTTCTTAATTTTTCTCATTAAATTATTTTTAAAAAGAAAAATTTGTAAACAGAAAAATTCTATTAATTTCTGTGTGAAAAAAATTTATTTTCTAGGCAAGTTATTGTAATTTTTCCTAAACTTTTGAAAAATTACAATTTTTTTTCATATTTTAAACTTTTTTTCAAATTAAAAAAAAATTGTTTTAGATTTACTCATCAATTATTATTTTGAAAAGAAAAATTTGTAAACAGAAAAATTCTATTATTTTCCGTGTGAAAAACATTTGTTAGGCAAATTTCTATAATTTTTCCCCAAAATTTTTTTAAATTAAACATTTTTTTCAATATTTGAAATTTTGTTTCTATAGGTAGAAAATTTTTTTACACATTTTTCTCATCAATCAGTTTGAAAAGAAAAATTTGTAAACAGAAAAACTCCACTGTTTTCCGTGTGAGAAATATTTTCTAGGTAAATTTTTATAATTTTTCTCCTGGAAACTTTTTTAACTCATTTTTCACATCAGTTGTTTTAAAAAGAAAAAAGTATGTGAACAGAAAAATATTTATTATTTTCCGTGTGAAAAATAGTTTTTTTTTTCAAAATTAATAGATGATTTTATAGAATTAATAGATTTTGACGTAGATGAACATATTTTAATCAGATTGAATATATAGAATATTGCAAAATCGATTGAATAACTCAAAATTTGAAAAAATCATTAATATTAATAATTAATTTAATTTTTAATTAACAATTAGTTAATTAATTCTTAGTTTTAATTAATTCTCAATTGATAATTTCTTAACTTAAATTAGTTCTTAAATTATAAATTCTTAATTAAAATTAGTTCTTAATTTATTAATTAATTTCCATGATATTCAAATTAATTACGATCGGAAAAGCGAAAAAAGAAATTCTACCACAATAATTTATTACAAACTTACAAATTTTCTTCCCTAGGAAAATACACCATTCATGGCGGAAATTGTTATTGTTGAAACTAAAGCCACACTTAATCGAAATTCTCACTTCCTTTCAAGATGAAACGTATTTTAATCATCAAAAAAATCGATTAAATATCTCTGAATCTGAAAAATTCGCCAATAATTAATTTTCGAATTAAAAAATTAATTTTTGAAATTTCGAATCAATTACTAAAAAAAGTAAACCAGAATTATTAATTAAATTACTAGAGTTAGTTACCACAAACTTACAATTTTTCTTTTTCTTTTTTTCAAGCAAAATATATACTCATTGTGGCGGAAATTGTTATTGTTCAATATTCTCTTGAAACTAAAGCCACTCTAAACTTTATATTATAATTATAGACAATAAAGCCAATCGATCTCACTCCTGTAGATTAAATACCGTTTTATGAAGATAAAACTACGCTAGAAAAATTGGTACGAGAAATTAACATTTCAATTTTTTTATTATTATTAAACCTGTTCCATATTTTCAACAAAAAAAAATATATAAACATGGAAAAAAAAATGGTTACAGATTCATTTCGGGGGGGAAATTGCGAGGATAACGTTGACGTCAATCTAAACGATATATGTCTAAAATTATTGACGTCAGTCTTTCTCAATGTATGACCTCTCTCTCTCTCTCTCTCCCTCTCTCTGTATATATACTATATGCACGGAAGAGAAATTTCTATGATCAAAAATTACTGTGCTGCCACCTGAAGATAAATACAAAAAACAATTTCTTTTATTTACGCAAAAAGAATTAGAACAAAAAAATCGATTTCTCTTACTATTAATTTTTCCTCAAAATTGCCGACGATTAAGTAATTTACTTTTTCTAATCTTTGCTGTCAAATTTTTTCTGACAAGAGTATTTTATAATGTAAATACTTTAGAATACAAAAATATTAATTTCGAATTTATGTAAAATTTATTTTTAATGGAAAAATAGAAAAAAAGGCTAATTCTCGATGAGTATCAGATTAATTATGAAAAATTAGAAAAAGTATTTTTATAATTTAATAAATGACTATTTTTTTCTTTTTTTTTGTTTTTGGTTTTTTTAAACTAAACCTAAAGTAGAAAAATATCTATAGTTGCATATTATATTACATATAAGTTTTCCAAACTGAATTTTTTAAATTCTTTTTATTCAGAATTTGGAATTTGGTTTTTGTGCTTCAAAAGCATGTTTTCCCCGTTCTTCTTTATCCCTCATCAGCTTTTTAAATTCCTCCTGCTTTTCACGCTGTTTTCGTTTTCTTTCAAGACGCATTTCCTCCTCGGTCAAAGTTACAGCTTCAAGAAAACAATTTATTATTTTTTTTTTTTTTACAGAAATTGCAGTATTTCTACAGTGGTAATAATATTTTAGAAATAAACTAAGAAAAACAAACTAGATAGAATTTTTATTCTATTATTTCATTTTCCTAAAGTTTTCAACGTTTCGAATACAGGGAATTTTTCGTGAAAATTTTTGAAAAATTACTATCCAAAAAGGAAATAATTAAAATTAAATCAGGGTTGCCATAAAAATTTAATTTTGTTTTTCCCTGACGTTTCCATGATTTCCAGACAAAATTTTGACTTTTTTATATCCTGAAGAATATTTTAATTTACTCCAAAAATTATTAGATACTACAAAAAAATGTTCTATTACATTTATTTACAAATTTCTTCAAAAGTAAAATTATTCGAAAACATCAATAACTTCTTTTTTAAATAAATATTTAAGTGATAAAATCATTATTTTATATCATAAGAATATTGTAACTATAAATTCAAATTTTCAAAGATTTTAATTTTAACTCTTTTCAAAATTCAATTATTTCTAAAAATACACACTATAATACCTACTTTTAATATTTAATTATAATTTAAACTTTTTAAGTGAAATTCATTTTTTAATCCATTTTTATTAGAAAATTTTTCGAGAATTCAATTATTTAAATAGAAAAATAAATAATTTATTAAATAATTGAATATTTTTTAAAATTGAATTTTTATTAAGAATTTTATCAAAATTTTCAAAAATAATTGAATTCTTTCGGCGAATTTAAAAAATAATTTTGAGAATAAATGCAATTTTCCATCAGTTTATTTAAAATTTTATAAAAAATAATTTAAATTCTGCGATAATAAGTTTTGTTATTTATGAAAATAATTGAATTCTTGCAACGAATTTTATTACAAAATTTGTTAAAGAATTGAATTTCTGTGAAGAATTTTACTTGTGAAAATAATTGAATTCCGGAGAAAAATATTATTATTTATGAAAATAATTACATAATTTCTTGTAAAGAATATTATTGAATTTTTTTTAAATAATTGAATTTCTCAGAATTTTTTAAAACATTTTGAAAATAATTAAATTCCATCGAGAAATTTCATTAAAAAATTGTAAATAATTGAAATCTGAAAAATAATTTTATTAAATTTTTTTTAAATAATTGAATTCATGTGAAAATGTTTATTTTAGAAAAGAAATGAATTCTTGGGAGGAATTTTATTAAAATTTCTTTAATAATTGAATTTCTTCAAAGAATTTTATTTATTACGAAAATAATTGAATTATTTCGAAGATTCAATTTGTGACATTTTTTACTATAATTGTATTTTAAGAAAATAATTGTATTCTATGATCAATTTTATTATAATTTTTCAAATTTATAAAGCTTTTAATCAAAATTTTTTAAAATAATTGATTTCTCGAGAAAAATTTTATTATTTATGAAAATAATTGATTTCTTGCAAAGAATTTTAATCAAATTTTTTTTAAAGAATTTAATTCTCGTGAAAAATGTATTATTTGTGAAAATAATTGAATTCTTAAGAATTGTATTGAAAATAATTGAATTTTATAGAAAAATTTTATTAGAACTGCAATTTTATTAACTAAATCTTGTGAAGCATTTTTTCAAAATGTTTTTAAATAACAGAATTTTTAAAAGAATTTTATTTAAATTTTTCGAAATAATTGAATTTCTCAGAAGTATTTTTTTCAATTCTCCGAATATATTTGAATTCTTTCGAGAAATCTCATTATAAAATTAAAAATAATTGAATCAGTGCGAAGAAATTTATAAAAAAAATTGATGAAATTGAAATAAAAAAATTTTTATTAAATTAATTTATTTATTAAATTTATTAAATTAATATTAATTAAAATTAAAAAGTGAAATTTTTATTAAAATTTTGTATAAATAATTGAATTCTTTTGAAAATTTTTTATTAAAAAATAGTAGATATTAAAAATAATTGAAATGAGGAAAATTTTTGAAAATAATTGAAATTTTGCCAAGAATTTTATTAAATTTTTTTTGAAAATAATTGAATTTATTATTTATTTATTATTTATAAAGATAATTGAAATTTTGACTAAAATTTGTTTAAATTTTTGAACATAATTGAATTTCTGCAAAGTATTTTATTTCTTTTGAAAATAATTAAATTTCTCCAATCAGTTATTCTTAAAATTTCTATTTAAATTCATTAAAAATTGTAATTTTATAAAATTTCAAATTGAAACCTTTTGAATTTCACTTATTTGTATTAGAATTCTTGGCAATTTCATAATTTATGAGTCAAACACAAAAGACACAAAAATTAAAAATTTTCTTATAAATTCTAAAAATTAAATTTTTCCCAGTTCTTTTAATAAAAATCCCTGATTTTTCCCTGATTTCTCTGACCAATTCTAATTTCCCTGACTTTTCCCTAACTTTCCTGACCTGTGGCAACGCTATAAACATTCAATTATTTATTTATTTGTCAAGAATTAATTTCTTTTAAATATAAAATAATATTCTTTGTAAAAAAATACAAAAATAAGTAAATAAATATCGTCATTAAAAATAATGTTTCGTTCTTTTTTCGTTAAAAACTTTAGGAACATCAATTTTGTCTACATATTTCGTAAATTATCAAAAAGAGAAAATTTGTTTTAAAATATAAAATTTCATACTCACAAGAACTTGCCGAACCGGTATTTGAACGAATGTTTAGTTGCATCGGATTTTCAAAAATACTGTCTAAATCTACTGTTTCTACATTGCTACTTAATTCTTTTAAACCACTGTCGGGGGTTGATGCGTTATTTGCTGTTTTTTTCAATTGTGTACCATCAAAGAGAGCAATGGAATTTTTCGTAATTTTCGGTGTTGATTGAGCTGCCGGTGGTAGCGGTGAATTTGGCCTCTTTAATGGAAACTTTGTTTTCGGAACAGTTGAAATGCTTAATGGGGAATTGAAATGTTTTAGTTCTTCGTCCATTTCCGTGAAACACGATAAAACTTTGCTGAGAGCATTCGTGACTGAAGTCTATAAAATAAACGATTCGTGCGAAATTAATATTCAATTACTGACAGCTGTACTAATTATTAATACGGGGGAAAAAAATGTATTTGATTCAAATACTTGATACTATTATCAATTAAATATTTAATTGATAAATATTATTTTATTCAATTAAATATTTAATTAATTTATCAATTAATATTTAATTGATAATATCAATTAAATATTAATTTATTAATTAATTAAATATTAATTTATCAATTAAATATTTAATTGAACCAAATAATCTCCAATAAATATTATTTAAATGAATTCGAATTATCAATTTAGTTTAAAAGGAAAATTAATTTCTTTTGGAAAATTTACCATTCTTGCTTTTTCAACGGACATTCCTTTTGAACTGGCTTCAGTATTTGAATATCCGCAATCTTCGTGGTACATTCCATTTGCCAGCTGTATTTTTACTGTCGCATAACATCCTGTCGAATAGTTTATTCCATTGTGATCGATGAAATCTAATTTTAAACAAAATTTGAAAGTTTGAAATTTTGAAGTAAAAAATTATAGGTTATGTTTGCAATTTTTTAAATGAAAATACAAAAAAAAAGATCAACTGTCAATATCAATTATTTATGTTTAAGTCTTCATTACAACTAAAATATTAAATAAACACTGATTTTACCTTGCAATAATTAAAAAGAAACTTTCAATCAAGAAAAAAGTCAAAAGAACATAACCTTAAAGTGATTTGCTTCTAAAGATTTCATTCTTCAGATCGCGTCACAATTAGAAAATAAGAAACTTACCAATTGTACAACTTGTTATTGCATGGCTCCAGCCAGTACCAAAAACCCGATTAGCTGCTTTTATTAAATCATTATTTTTACTTTGAATAGAAGATAAATCATTACTTGATTCTGATGTGCGTGACATAAAGTTACTTTGGGTAACTGGCTGTAAATATTAGTTCATTAATTAAAAAAACCCAAAATATAATTATATTTTTAAATATACTTATATTTTCCATTAAATACTAATATTTTGTATACATTTATTTATTATACGAAGAAATAGAAATTAAACGATCTGTTAAAGTAAACGAAGTAAACGAAGAAAACGAATCTTTTCGAAATATCTACAAAAACTAGAACAAAAAACCGCTATTTTGTGTAAATAAACATTTGACTTACCACTTTTATGCAAGACATCCTGTTTTTGCAAATTTAAACATCACTATTTAATTTCTTATTCAAATTAGACACTTGTTATTTCTTTTCCGAACTTTCAGGTTATATTATTGTTTAGAAAATTTTAAACTAAACGTTTCAAACGTTTTTAACAAAGAGAACAAGATGACAAGATTATTTTCTAACCACGTGCTTCGGTGACGACTTTCTCAAATGTGAATAACAAAAACAATAAACAACATGGCCGATGCCGAACGAATGCAGAAAAAAATCTTAAGCTCTCTTTTTAGTGTTTTGTCCAATTTTAAACCTACCGATCCCTGTCTTCTTGACAAATCACAAATCAGAGGATCAAGAGCATCAAGAGTATGAACTTGGTCTTATGTTTATCTTCGAAGATACTTAACCTAAAAATTATTGACACTTTTCTTTCGGCCCTTTCGGCGAATGCCTATTGGATATTTCTCCCCTTCTCCGTCTTTTGATTGGTCGTAAAGGGAAAATTAAAAAAAGATAAATAAGATAAACAAAAAGATTGACAAAAACACGTGTGCTGTGTGCTTGTGAAAAGAGAGCAAGTTGTACAAAGTGGTACAAATTTTCTGGCTAATTTTTACTAATTAATGTCTAACAATCATTGAAAGTATTTTGTTTTTAAACAATATTGTTTTTATCCCAAGTGAAAACAAGTGAAAAGAATTCGAACGAAAAAACAAAAATGCCATCTCTCGATAGAATAAAGTATGTTACTTTATAAAGTCATAAGTTTACTAATTTTTCAGTTTTTATTTTGTTAATTTATCGAAATTGGTTATAATTTTATTACAGAAAGCCAGCGACTCATCGTGGTAAGAGGGCAATTTTAAAAAAAGAACCACAATTATTGGAAACTGCGAAACAAGCATTATGCATCAAAGGAAGCACAAGTTCCAAATTGGCACACGATTGCATGAAAGATTTTGTAAGTTCTTTAATTATACATAATGTAATAATAATAATAATTTATATTATATGTAATTTTTTGTCTGTAAATATGTAAAATTTTGACTTTTAGTACGACCTGAAAAAACCCGATGCACAAATGATGACGAAAAAGAATGAAATTCGACCATTTGAAGATATAACGCCAATTGAACAATTTGCCACAAAATTAAATGCACCATTATTTATGTTCACATCGCATAATAAAAAAAGACCGAATAATCTTATAATGGGTCGAATGTTCGAAAATACCTTACTCGATATGGTGGAATTTGGAATTGATGATTATAAAGGACTTAAAGAATTTAAAGTTCCAAAAATAGCCACGGGAATTAAGCCATTGTTAATTTTTAATGGCGATATCTTTGAAAATAATCGCGAATACGGAAGAATTAGAAATCTTTTGATTGACATGTTTCACAGGGAGTCGACGAAAAATGTTCGATTACAGGGACTTGAGCATGTCATCAGTTTCACTGCTCGTGATAATAAAATATTGTTTCGCAGTTTTAGGTACGTTTCACTTTTTTTTAAATTAAAAAATTACTAATTATTATTTTACGTTTTCTATAGAAAATGTAAAATAAAAATAATTTCAATTGAATTGAATTGAAAAATAATTTTAATAGAATTAAATGGAATTGAAAAATAATTCTAATCGAATTAAATGGAATTGAAAAATAATTTTAGTCGAATTAAATAGAATTGAAAAATAATTCTAATCGAATTAAATGGAATTGAAAAATAATTTCAACCGAATTAGATTTAAAAATATACATTGGTTTCAATATAATTGTTCTAGAGTCTTTTTAAAAAAATCCGGATCCAGAACTCCTAGAATTGAATTAGAAGAAATTGGACCACACGTTGATTTAGTTGTAAGACGAACGCAACTCGCCTCCGATGATTTGTTCAAACAATCGTGCAAGAAACCTAAAGAACTCAAGGTAATCTCAATAATTTTCTTTCTCACAATTTTTAATATTTAATAACTCAAGCCATGGAAAAACATTAAATTAGAACTTTAATTTACAAAATTAATAAAAATCAAACTTACGAATTCGAGCATAAAAATTGAAATTTAACACTTTTTTTTACAGGTGAAGAAGAAGAAGAATATTTCCGCTGATCCACTTGGAAAGACACTTGGTCGTGTTCATATGGGAGCGCAAAAATTGAACAAAATACAAACAAGAAAAATGAAAGGTCTACGAAAAACAATGACCGAAAGAAAAGAGGAGAGAAAACGAAAAAGTTTAGACGCAGTGGTGACGCCAAATGTGAAAAAAACTAAAACTGTTGATGTTTAAATTGTAATTTTATTCATTTCTTCACGAATGACCATCTTGAAGAATTCTTTTGATCCTGAAATTAATTTCTATTTTTAGAAATATGAATAGCTTGTAAAATTTATCACATATTTTTTTGTACGAGAATACAATACTATTTAGTCTTAAAATAAAGATAAATTGATAATTAAACTAATTAACTTAATTCATTCATTCATTCATTTATTCACTCAATTCAAATTTTCAATTTTGTTGAACTAAAAATTGGAAAATTACTCAGATACCTTAATTTGAATTCCACAGGAGAGTAAATTTTGTCTGACCTCATCGCACATCTTCAAGGTATTTATATCTTTCGGATCCTCCAAAGCTTTAGTTCTAATCGATTTACGAAAAGCGACAAAATTATCGAGAATTTCGGTCAAGACGAATTGATTTTCTTCCGTTGCTTTGTAACTCTCAAGACCTAATTTTGTAAGTACAGTTGTAATGTAATTGGAAACTGACGCGACAGCCGATGGATTTCTCACTTGAGAATCTTTCTGAAATCAATATTCGAAACATCAATATAGAAAAATTCTGAATTAGGCGAAATTATTAAATATATTCCTTGGTCTTTTCTCAATTTACCGATGTTTGTTGCAGCATTTTATTTCCAATTTTGACGAGATCAACAATTGAATGCACAACTTCCGGTGTATTAAAATCGTCAGCAAGAGCAATTTCAATTGTGTTTCTAGTGTTCGTCAAACTCTGAAAATTTAAATATTAAAGTAAAAAAAGAATTTAATAAACTTACAATTTACAAAAAACAAAAACTTGCAATTAAATCGTCAAAATTATGTAAATTAAATTGTAGACCAAAAGTTATTAATTAGATACTAAAAAATATTAACCGTCAGAAGAAAAGACTCGTCAATGAATCCTCCGTTCAGTTCCCCGGCTACATAACTTCGACAATCGCTGATGAAATTTTCAATTTTGCTAAGTGTGGAAACTGCCAATTGCATCGAATCCTCTGAGAACTCGAGATCTAATTATCAACAATACGAATTTTTATTATTTCGAAACTGAAGAAAATAACAAAAAATTTTTGAAATTCGAAGAATTAAAGTTACCTTTTCTGTAGTGTGTCATTAAACACAGTAATCTAAATTCATTTCCGCTGTGCTTTTTAAGAAACTCTTCGATTGAAATTGTATTTTTCAAACTTTTGGACATTTTCACATCTCCTTGCGAATGTAAATGACCCGTGTGAATCCAATAATTGATCCATTGTTCTATTCCATGATGACAGCAAGATTGAGCTTCCTCATTCTCATGATGGGGAAATTCCAAATCTTTCCCACCGCTGTGAATGTCGATCTGACTTCCAAAAATCGCACTGAATTTCAAGCATTATTTTCATTATTTTTATTTCATAACAGGCTTCACACTCGATAATTAATTTTAAAAATGTATCAAAAAGTATCTTTAATACTGAGAAAAAGTAGTAAAAATGTAGCTAACGAAAATTAATTTTAACGAATAAAAAAAAATTGTTTTACTCGATTCACAAAAATTTGATTCACTATTTCCCTGACTGATTCCTAATGTATACATCAAAAATATCTATTTTTATTCTAATCCTGCTGCGAGAACTTTAATTCTAAATTTTTGAAAAATTTAATTATTTTCAAAATTTTTATCTATCTATCTAAAAATTTATTTAAAAGTATTTAAATGTATTTAAAAGTAAAGAAATAAAATTATTTAAAATATAAAATTTAATTTAAATTGTTTACAGGAATTAAGAAAATAATAAATTAATAATTATTTAAAGTAAAAATTTAAACGTTATTATAGTTTAAACAATTAAAATTTTCAACGATTTCATTTTAAGAATCTTTTAAAATTTAATTATTTCTAAAAAAAATCGTTACTATAATGCTTTTAATATTCAATTATTATCTCAAATTTTAAACTAAAATTTGTTTTTAAATCAATTCTTATTACAAAGTTCAACTGAAATTGAATTATTTAAATAGAAAAATAAATTATAAATTATTAAATGTTTCTCAAAAATTTAATTCTTATAACGAAATTATCAATTTTTAAAAAAATAATTGAAATTCTGAGAAGAATTTTACTATTTATGAAAATAATTGAATTCTTGCGAAGAATTTTACTTAATTTTTTTAAATAATTGAATTCTCGTGAAAAATTTGATTATTTGGTAAAATAATTGAATAATTGAGAAGAATTAAAGAATTTATCAATTTTTTTTTAAATAATTGAATTTCTCAGAAGAATTTTATTATTTATGAAAAGAATAGAATATTAGTTAATTCCTTTTAAGTAATTGAATTCTCGTTTAAAATTTTATTATTTAGGAAAATAATTGAATAATTGTAAAGAATTATAGAATTTATAAATTTTTTTAAAAATGAATTGAATTTCTGAGAAGAACTTTATTATTTATGAAAATAATTGAATAATTGTGAAGAATTTTTATTAAAATTTTTAAAAGTAGTTGAATTCTTGAGAAGAATTTTATTATTTATGAAAACAATTGAAAAATTGTGAAGAATTAAAGAATTTCTAAATTTTTTTTTAAAATAATTGAATTTCTGAGAAGAATTTTATTATTTATGAAAATAATTTAATTTTTGCAAAGAATTTAAAAAAAATTTTTAAACAGTTTTTAACAATTTTTAAACAAAATTTTGATAAACTTTATAAAAATTCTATTTTAAATAATTAAATTCCAGTAAAATTTTTATTATTTTAGAAAATAATTGATTGTTCGTGTGGAATTTTATCAAAAAATTTTTTAACTAATTGAATTCCTTTGGGAAATTTTATTAATAATAGTAGATATTGAAAATAATTGAAATAGGAAATATTTTTTAAAATAATTGAAATTTTGCCATGAATTTTATTAAAATTTTTGAAAACAATTGAATTTCGGCGAAGAATATTTTAAAATTTATAAAAATAATTGAAATCTTGACGAGGATTTTTTTTTAATTTTTGAAAATAATTGAATTTTCGTGAAAAATTTTATTATTTGGAAAAATAATTGAATAATTGTAAAGAATTATAGAATTTATAAATTTTTTTAAAAATAATTTAATTTCTGAGAAGAGTTTTATTATTTTTGAAAATAATTGAATTTTTGCGAAGAATTTTATTCAATTGTTTTTAAATAATTGAATTCTCGTTTAAGCTTTTATTATTTAGGAAAATAATTGAATAATTGTGAAGAATTTTTATTAAAATTTTTAAAAGTAGTTGAATTCTTGAGAAGAATTTTATTATTTGTACGAAAATAATTGTATTCTTGACTGGATTTTCTTTTAAATTTTCATGAAAAATGTTATTGCTTGTGAAAATAATTGAATTGTTGCGGTAGAATTTTATAAAAAGTTTTTAAATTGATTAAAGTAATGCAAATTTTCCCAAAAATAAAGAAAAAAGTGTCTTTTAGTGTAAAAACTAAAAAAGTATACAAATAGTAGCAAATTGCAAGAAAAGTAGTAAATAGTAGGTTTTAGTAGATGAGTGCGAAGCCTACATAATTGTAAATTTGTTTTTAATGTAATTTTTTAATTTCAATTTAATGGTAATTTTATCCGATTTTTATTTACTATTACCTAGCCATCACGCTGCATTCAATGTGCCAACCCGGTCTTCCATTTCCCCAAGGAGACTCCCAAAATGGTTCATTCTCTTTGGCTGCCTTCCATAAAGCAAAATCCAACGACGATTTCTTAATTGAATCCTGCTTTTCTTCCTGACATTGTCTAAATTTTCCATAATTTCCAAATTTTAATGTATCAAAATATACGGAACCTGGAAGTATAAATTATCTCTTTAATCATTAAAATAGAAAATGAACAAATTGAAACAAAAAAAAAATTAAATATACAAGAAAAGGTAACTGATTACCGTCGTTAGCTTGATAAGCAGCATCGTTTTTAAAAATATTCTCGATAAATTTAATAATTTTCTCTATATTATCCGTCACTCTGCAACTCATATAGGGCTTTGCAACATTCAACAATTTCATATCTCGAAAAAATTCCTCCTCATAAAACATTGTTAGATTTTTCCACGACTGATTTGTTTCTTGCGAACGTTTTATTATTTTATCATCGATATCAGTCAGTCCCATTATTAAAACTACATCTAGATTGTGAAAATTCGTCAGTATCCTCCGAATGATGTCGCATCTTACATAAGTACTAAAAACAAAAATTGTATTTAAATTTTTAAACAGTAAATAAATTTCTCCTGACTTTAGTTTGCAGGTAATGTTATTATCCTTGTAATTTTTCGAATATTTTTTGAAAATAATTGCAACGTTTTAAAGAATTTGATTATAATTTTTGAGAATTGTTTTTTGATTTCTAGTATTAGCGAATTTAAAGTACTGTAAATTCTCAAAAAGAACAGAAATAGTAGCTTTTAGTGGCTGAAATCTAAAGAAAAGTACCCAAATAGTAACATAACGTAAAAAAAGTATAGTAAATAGTAGGTTTTAGTAGATGAAGTGCGAAGCCTGAATAACACAATTACCTAGCGTGTCCAATATGAGCCGAATCGTATAAAGTCGGCCCACACATGTACCATGTCACGACATTTTTATTCTTCAATATCAATGGAAATTTTGATTTTAATAAACTATTGTACAAAGTAATGTTTGTTTTAAAACCATCTGGTTGTATCCATTGAATAGTTTTGTTCTTTTTCAATTCTGTATGCAATAATCTTTTACAGATTGAATGAGAAATTTTAGTTAAAAATTTCATATTTTCTATTATTATTGTAAAAATAGGCAAGTGTAAGGCTTATTTTTGAATTAAGAATTTAATTTCAATTTGCTTACATGACTTTTGCCTTTTTTGTTTATATATACAGGAAAAGTCACATGGCAGATTTTGAATTTAAGAATATTTTGTTTACTTTTTTAAATAGGGATATACGTCTCAAATAAATTCTTGTTTTTTATTTAACAAAATTTTATAAACAATGTATTTTATTCATTTTGTTAATTATTAATTGCTAATTGTTAGGGGAAGAGGTTATGTATTTCTTTTTTTATTTACAATGAACCAGGGTTGGGAAAGTACGCTTTTGTAAAAGAGAGTGAGTGACTTTAATGTGAAGTAAGCAGCACACGCTTGTCCAGAAAATATGAACTGGACTTAATTCACGTTTTGATTGTAGCGCTCTTCACTTTCAAGGTAATTTTCAGAAACATTTCTTCTTTCATTATTAGGCTTTTATTCACTCAATTCTATTCATTCTATTGCAATTTCAAGTTTATAGGTTTAGGGGAAACCAATTCAAAACAACCAAAAAACAACAATAAGCTCAACAATTACTTCATTTGACGCTGTTTGACGCGCGAAAAACGCAGTAACATGAGTGTCAAAACAGCATCCGCACCTAAAGAGGTTCAAGTAAGTATTCAAATACTAAAAATACTTCTAAATATTGTGTTAAAATAAATACCCTCTCGGGAAGTAATTTTCTCCTTTCTCTACTTTAACAATTGGTTAAAGTCATATTGCCGGTAAATAACATGAAAATTTTGAGGTTAGAAATGGTTCTTGTTCTTACTTTGTTTTAGTTTATTGCCGCATTGTTTTTAGTTTAACTTGTTTACTGAGAATTGTTTTCGATTAACAATTGTTTCTTTTAGGAATTTCAATTTAAAAAATCGAGTAAACATCAAATATCGGAAAAACTTGCACTTCCCGTGAGTTGTAGTCTCGTAGCTGCAGATGGAAAACGAGGTTTACTCTACATTGGTCATGAGAAAGTAATAAGTGTTTTAAAACTTGGCAATGAGGGAAATATCGAATGGCGAACGGATATTAATTTACCGGATAATATTACAAGAGTAGCTCTCAATTGTGACTCGACACTTTTAGCTGTTACTCTATTTGGACCTTCTGTTTTTATATACTCGGCTCCACTTTTGTCGAAAAATGTAAGTATTTTAATTTCTTTAAAAAGTTTCTTTTCAGGGTTGCTATTCATTCTGGGAACCTGGAAATGTCAGGGAATTTTATAAACCTTGAAAAAACCTGGAAAAGTCAGGGAAAATTGTTCTTTTTTAAAGTTATTGTGTTTATTCTTGAAATCTAATTTCACTCAAGTATTTCAAAATTAATTCAATTTTAAAAGAATTGCGTTTACAATTTTAATAAGTAGATGAACTTCAAAAGATTTTTATTTAATATTTTGTAAAATTTCACTTTTAAATGAATTTAATTCGAAATACCTATAAAAAAACTTTTAAAAACTAAAATTCTTCTGAGATTAGTTAAATTTTTGAATATATATTTAATTGATTATTAAAAATAATGGATTTATAGAAGAATTTTAGTTAAAAACACTAAAACAAATTGAATTTTAAAGCAATTACAAATGATTGCAGAAATTCAATTATTTTCAAAAATTTTAATAAAATTCTTGGCAAAATTTTAATTATTTTCAAAAATATTTATATTATTATTTTCTAAATATTTAATTGAAGAATATTCGAATAATCAAAATTTCGTAATATTGAAGTGTAAACAAATGGATTTGAAAATTTTCTAGGAACTTTTGCAAAAATTATTATAAATAATTGATAATTGTTAATTTATTTCTTTCGAAGAATTTTAATAAAATTTTTGAAATTAATTACATTTTTCGAAGAATTTACTGAAAATTGTATGAAAAATAATTGAAATCTTGTGAAGAATATTATTATTTATGAAAATAATTGAATTCTTCCATCGAGTTTTATTACATTTTTTTAAATAATTGAATTTTTTTTGAGAAATTTTATTAAAATAGTAGATTTTAAAAATATTTGAATTTCAACCATGAATTTCATTGTTTATGAAATGTATTTTTTGAAAATAATTACATTTTTCGAGAAATTTATTTAAAGTTTTATTAAAAATAATTGAAATCCCATGAAAAATTTTATTTGTATTTATGAAAATAATTGAATTCTTACAATGAATTTTATTATATTTTTTAAATAATTGAATTGATGTGAAAATTGTGTTACTTGTAAAAATATTTGAATTCTTGCGAAGGATTTTATTAAAAATTTTGTAAATAAATAAATTTTTTTTTAAATTTTTGTGGTAATTTAAAAAAAAATTTTAATTTTGAAATCTAAATTTTTAAAACACGAAGATATTGATCACTCCGAGTCGAAGACTCGGAGTGCTCGATATCTTCATATTTGTTTTAATAATATTCTTATATGTTATTGAATTTCAAATTTTTGAATATCTTAATTTGCCTAAAAAAATAATGATTAAATATTTATTTAAAAATGAAGTTATTGATGTTTTCGAATAATTTTCGTTTTAAAAACCTGGAAAAATTCCGTTTTTTAATCTGGAAAAGTCAGGAAATTTTCAGCGTGACAACCCTGCTTTTGCAAGAGTTTCGAATTTAATATTAATATTTAAATGTAATTATAATTAATCTTATAATAAAATTCGATTCTTTGAAATTCAGGTCTTGGATTTACTGCACGAAATACGCCTCTCGAGTTCAAGTGGCGATATTTCCGTTTGTGATTTACGATGGAACCCGGCAATTCCAGGAATGCTTTGTACAGTTACAAGTGATCATACAATCGGAAGCTTTCAAGTGAGTGGTGATAAAAAGTCAGGTTTCGCAATAACCGGATCGGGACGAATCGAAGGAGTAGATGCACTTTGTGCAGCATGGAGTCCAAAAGGAAAGCAAGTGGTTGTCGGCTGTCGAAATGGAAATATTATCCAACTAAAACCAGAATTAAAAGTTGCGAGGACAATTCCCGGTCCCAATCCAAATATGGGTAGTGTAATAGCAATTTTGTGGGTTAGTAATTTTCAATTTTGTGCTGCCTATCAGGAACCAACGGAGGGACGAGTAAATGTCATGATTGTCGATGCACCCAAGGGCGAAACACTGGCAAAATTCACAAACTACGAAGACATTACTTACGGTGGAATTCCCACAAGTCAATATTATTTCGATTACATTCCTGAATGGGGAGTTATCATTGCAGCGAGTAGTTCGAGTAGTGAAGTCGCTGTTTTAGGAACTGCCGACAATGGAATTTCATGGGAACAATGGCAACTCATTGACAATAGTAGAGCTGAACTTCCTCTAGTGCGAACTGATGAGTCCTTTCCCATTGGATTAGCCATCGATAGGTCACCCACTACACCACTTGCTCTGAATCCGGAAAATATTCTACCAAATCCAGTGCCGATTCTTCATATTCTCGCCACTTCGGGACAATTTTGCAGTTTTCATATTGTCAATCTGAAGGCAGATTGTCCTGCGATTTGTGTTCCACCAGCGGAAATTGTCGTTCCATCACTAGCACCAGGTAAATTTTAAAGAAAATAGTATAATAATAGAAATATAATAATTTATAATATTTATAATAATAGAATACGACTGTATTCTGGGTTGCCACGCAACCTGGAAATTCTGGAAATGTTAGGGAATTTTATAAACTTTGAAAAAACTTGGAAAAGTCAGGGGAATTTTGATCGGAATCCTAGAAAATTATTGTTTTCTCTAAAGTTATTGTGATTATTCTTGAAATTTAATTTTACTAATATTTCAAAATTAATTGAATTTTAAAAGGGTTGCGTCTTACAATTTTCATAAATAATTAAATTTTTTAATATACATTTAATTAATTATTAAAAATAATGAATTTATAGAAGAATTTTAGTTGAAAACACTAAAACAAATTGAATTTTGAATCAATTACAAATGACTGCAGAAATTCAATTATTTTTAAAATTAGTAAAAACTCTGCTCAGAAATTCAATTATTTTCAAAAATTTTAATCAAATTCTTGGCAAAATTCAAATATTTACAGAAAATTTCCTCAATTCAATGATTTTTAATATCTACTATTTTAATCAAATTTTCCAAAATAATTCAATTATTTAAAAAAAATGTAATAAAAATTCTACGGAAACATATAATTGTGACGCGATCTGAAGAAAGGGACCTTAGAAGCAAATCATTTTAAGGTTGGGTTAGAGTTACTTTTTTCTTGTTTGAAAGTTTCTTTTTACTTATTTCGAATTAAAATCAGTGTTTATTAAATATTTTAGTTTTAATGAAGACTTAAACTTTAATGATTTATATTGACAGTTGATCCTTTTTTTGTATTTTCATTTAAAAAATTGCAAACATAACCTATAATTTTTTGCTTCTAAGGTCCCTTTCTTCAGATCGCGTCACAATTATTTTCATAAATAATACAATTTTCCCAGGAATTCAATTATTTACAATTTTTTTTATATAAATTTCTTCGCAATAATTCAATTATTATCATAAATAATCAAATTTTTAAAAAGGATTCAATTATTTTCATAAATATTAAAATTATTTATAGGTTTTCAATTATTTTCATAAATAATACAAACTTTACAGGAATTCAATTATTTACCATTTTTTTAAATAAATTTCTTCGCAATAATTCAATTATTATCATAATAAAATCAAATTTTTTAAATGGATTCAATTATTTTCATAAATATTAAAATTCTTTATAGGTTTTTAATTATTTTTATAAATAATGCAAATTTTACAGGAATTCAATTATTTAAAAATTTTTTATTTTCTTCTCAATAATTCAATTTTTTTTATAAATAATCAAATTTTTTACATGAATTCAATAACTTTCATAAATAATAAATCTTATCACAGAATTTCAATTATTTTTAATACAATTCTAATGAAAATTCCACTAAAAATGTAATTATTCTTGAGATTTTTTTTTTAAATTCATCAAAGAAATTCAATTACTTTAAAAAGATTTGCTATAATTTATTTATTAGAATTTAAGTATTTCTTAAAATTCAATTATTTTCAATGTCTATTATTTCAAAAAAATTTCACAAAAGAATTCAATTTATTAAAAAGAAATAATTTATTAAAATTCATCTCAAGAATTCAATTATTTTCAAAAGTATAATAAAATTCTTCGCTAAAATTCAATTATGATTAAAAATTTTTTAAATTTCTCGTCGAATTTCCAATTATCTTTATAAATAATAAAATTCTTCTCTAAAATTCAATTATGATAAATAAATAAATAATACAAAATTCTTAGGAATTTAATTATTTACAAACTTTTTATACGTTTCTTCACAATAATTCCATTATTTTCATAAGTAATAAAGCTTATCGCAAAATTTCAATTATTATTAATACAATTTTAATTTAATTTCTCAAAAAATGCAATTATTCTTAAAAATATTATTAAAATTCGTCGACAACATTTTTTATGAGAATTCAATTTTAAGAAACATGCAATTATTCAATAATTTTTTTCTTGTATTTAAATAAATGAATTCTCGTGGAATTTTCCAATAAAAATTGATTTAAATATGAATTTCAGTGAAAATTTTAGATAATAATTGAATATTAAACTAAATTTGAATTAGTAAAAATGTTTACTAATTTGAATTAGTGACTGATTTTTTGCTTTTGAATTAGTAAATTTTACTATTTAATTAGTAGAAACGACAATTTATTAGTAAAAATTATTAGTTAAAGCAAAAAGTCACTCACTATTTCCAATTAGTAAACATTTTTACTAAATCAAATTTAGAGAGAATCTATTAAAGTGGCAATTTTTAGAAATAGTTTAATGAAAAGGTTTCAAATTATAATTTTAATTATAAGTATGAAAAATTCCAATTTTTCATACTAATAATTTTATTATTATTATTTTATATTTTTTTTTATTATTATTTTATTATTTTTATTAATTTTACTAATTATTTTTCGACTAATAATTGTGTAAGTTTAATTTTTTTTTTAAAAAAGTTTAATGGGATTTTTTTTGAAACTATTCGAAGTTTTTATTTATTTAATTGAAGAATTTCCGAATTATCGAAATTTCACGTAAAATTGAATTGTAAACAAATGGATTTAAAAATTCCCAAGAAGAACTTTTTCAAAAATTATTCAAAATAATTGATTTAAAGAAGAATTTTTATTTATTTATTTAGAAAAGAAAAATTTAAAAAATGTTGAAATATTTGAATTTGAAATTTTTGAAAATCTTAATTCTTATGAAAAAATAATAATGATTAAATATTTATTTAAAAAAAAGAAGTAAAATAGTACATTTTTCTGAGTAATTTTTTAATTTTTCAGTTGGATTGCCCGTACCGCGACCAAGTATTCCCTCGTCTGAAATTTCATTCAATCTTACCACCGGAGCAACAAGTACGCCACGTGCAAAAATTGATTCACCGAAAGAAAAACCGAAGAACCTTATGGCTACCAACTTTTTTGCTGACAGTGCAAAAGTTTCAACAGGTGCGCCAAGTTTCTCTCTCAAGTTCGAACCAGAAAAACCTCAGATAGTAAATCTACCGCCTACGAATTTACCACCACCTATGAATTTACCTATTGCGAATTTACCACAATCTATAACTCTCTCTCCGACCAATTTACCACCACCTTTAAGTTTACCTCCCACGAATTTACCACCACCTGTAAATCTACCTCCGGTTAATTTACCCCCAGTAAATCTGCCTTCAACTCCCCTTCCAAAAATCGAAACGAAAATTAACACCTTCCTCCAACAAACTGAACCGAAACCTGTGGATCACATTCCTGGCGTTGAGTTAAAAATTCCAAAGACCACAATTACCAAACTTGAGCCACAAGCAAAAGCGGAAATTAAAATACAAAAGGAAATCCCAACCAAGGAGTCAGTGGCAGAAAAATCGAATATAGACGACAATCTTTGTTTGAGAGCCTATCGAGAGGAGCAGGTGAATTTCGAAAAGGAATTAAAAACAAAACTCGAACCTCTAATATGGGAAGTTGGCACTAAAGTCGAGAAGGAACAAATTATTGACAAAACAAATCTAATCGACGAATTTCTCCGCGATTTACAAGAGACAACAACGAGTCTAGCCAGTGACATTGCCTACCTACGAGGATTTCTCATACAATCTTTCGCCTGGTTGGAAGAGACAAATTCCAAAAATTCCGACAATGTGAAATTAACCTCAAGAAATCGGAGAGAAAATTCCAAACTTGTCGAATTACAAGAACTTCTCTATTACACTCAATCGCAATTAGTTCAGGCTTCAAAAGTCATTGATTTACAATGGTCCGAGCAGCAATCGAGAGAACAGAAAAAAATGAAAATACCAAATATGGAGTGTATCTATCAAAGTTTAATGCGACACGGACAAATAGTTGCAAAGGAGAAAAGTAACATCGAAAGTCTTACCAAAAAATGGAAATCAATCGCACGCGGTATCACCGTCTCCGATCTCAATCACTCCGTATCGAATCTTCACATTACAAATTCCTCCCACGATTCTGTCATTGATCAAAGATGCAAGACAATCGCCAATATTAATCAAAATTTTAGTCGCGAGAAACAAATGAAGTTACGTGATTTTCTCTCCGAATCGGCGCCGAGAATTATTAAACCCGCAAAACCGACGTTAATTCAAGACAGGTTGGAAACAACTCTAAGTTCTTTGGCCTCGATGAGTTCGACAAAAGTCTCGAAACCAAAAGCAGAGCAAAAATTACCTCACAATCCAAAGCCGAAGGTACAAAGTAGTCCCCTTGCATCTCTAAATAATATTGTGTCAAAAATTGGCATTGCGGGTGAAAAACAAGAAGTTGAGGTTCAAAAGATTTCCCCGTGCCCACCGGTGAAAGCACAACCGGCATTAGTTCCACAAAAACCGAAACAGACCCAGACCATAAACATTTCCTTCGCGCAGAATCCGCAGAATTTAGTGAAACCATTCCCAAAAGTCGAGGCTATTAGTTTCGGTCAAAAAATCGAATCACCAAAAGAAATCAAAAGCGGAAGTGAAAAGGAGACCCTCGGGAAGAGTTCGGAAATTTCTAATCTTAATTTCTCGGGGAATATTCTTCTGACACCGACTATTCAATCGACGTTTAGTTTACAATCACCTCCCGCATCGACATCGGCGCAGAATTTTTCCTTTGCATCCTCAAAACCTGCATTCTCATTCGCTGCAAAGCCAGAAGAGAAGACGAATATCGATCTCGGTGGTTTGAATCTCTCACAAGCGGGACTCACGATCACGCCAATTCCAGAGGTTAAGAATGGAAGTCCTATTAATTTTGGAAAGACGAATATGTTCGGAACATCGGGAGCAAATTCACCGAGTTCAACGAATTTTGGAAATAATTTTGGAAGTACTTTTGGAACCAGTTCGGGCAGTACTTTCGGAAGTTTAAGTATGAGTACGTTTGGAAATGCAGCAGCAGCAGCAGCAGCGAGTACGACTGCGCCAGCGATTGGAACCACTTTTGGAACTTCTTTCGCAACTTCAGGCGCGGGTACCTTCTCAACCCCTACGGCAAGCACTTTTGCAACTCCGAATATTTTCGGAACTGCGGGAACACCAACAACTGCCACGGTTACTACAGGAAGTATTTTCGGCGCTACTTTCGCGAGCGGTGGAACTCAATTTGGAAAAGGAGGAAGTATCTTCGGTGGTAGTTCGAATGTATCAACTCCGAGTACTCCTAGTAATTTGAGTTCGGTTACAGTATCGAGTACTACAGCTCTGAATAACCCTCAGAGTTCAACCCCAGTTTCTTCTCCTGTGATTAGTTCAATAAACTTAACTCCGACTCCGCTTTCGAGTCCGAATTCCTCGTCGCAATTTTCATCGCAAATTTCATCGAATGTCTCATCGAATGTCGCATCGAATGTTTCATCGAATGTTTCATCGAATATCCCATCGAACGCCTCATCGAATGTCCCATCGAATGTCCCATCGAGTGTCTCGAGTTCGGTCATAGTTTCCAAGTCGTCTTCCCTAGCGAGTCCAATTCTCGCCTCGAGTTTGGCGTCACCTTGTGTCTCGACACCAACTTCGGTTGCTGTTTCAACTCCGCCACCGAATTATCCCTCGCCTTCCAACACCTTGGCTTCTTCAACAGCCTCGGGAATGGATATGCTCTCCCTCTCACTAAACTCGACAAAAACAACTGCCCTCCCTTTTCAAGCACCAACGTCGACAATATTCTCCACACCTCCCTTTGGGGCGAATTCAAATTCAAGTGCAACGTCGACGTTGAATTTCGGCAAAGCGAGTGTCATCGCTTCTCCGAACGTCATTGCACCTTTCGGTGGCGAACAGATGTCAAATCAAGGTTCGATTTTCGGTGGTTCGACAGCAAACTCCACTGGCAGTGTGTTTGGAAAAACGAGTATGGCGAGTGCGAATCCATTTGGTGGTAATACACTGGCTCAGAGTCCGTCGAGTACAACGACGTCGGTGTTTGGAAACGCTGGTAATACGGCGGGGAATTCGATATTTGGCGGTGGTTCGACGACTGGTGCGGGATTTGGAATGAAATCGACGACAACGGGGAATGCGTCTGTTTTTGGAATGTCGACGGTGCAACAACAACAGCCTTCGTCGGTGTTTGGCGGTGCGCAGGAAACGTCATTGTTTGGTGGCGGAACTACTGCTGCTAATCCTGTAGTTGCAAAACCGCAGGAGACGAATTTTTCGATGTTTGGTGGAGCGGCGGCAACTGGTGGAGCGTCTGTGTTTGGACAAGCTCCTGCTTTTGGAGCTAAACCAGCGTTTGGAGCGAGTCCCGATTTTGGACAGGCGAAATCTGTCTTTGGAAGTGGATTTGGTGCTGCTCCATCCTTTGGAGGTGCTCCTTCGTCTCCGGGTAAGTTTTTTTTATTAATTTCTTCTATTTCTGACAATAATAGAGTTGCTACAGTTCAGGGAATTCAGGGAAAAGTCAGGGAAAGTAGAATTGGTCAGGGAAATCAGGGAAAAGTCAGGAATTTTTATTAAAAATACTGGAAAAAATTAAATTTTTAGAATCCATAAGAAACTTACGAATTTTTGTGTCTTTTTTGTTTGACTCATAAACTATAAAATTACCATGAATTCTAATTAAAAACCTTTAATTATTATATTTTTAACAATAATTTCTTATTTAATAACTTAATTCTTCAAGGACTATTACAAAATTATTACCTATATGGTAAATTATTTAATGAATAATTTTATTTAAATATTTCAAAATTAATTCAATTTTAAAAGACTTGCGTTTATTTTCATAAATAAATAAACTTCAAAAAGTTTTAATTTCAATTTTTAATGAATTTAATAAAAAAAATGTAAAGCACTTAGATTTTTGAAATATTTTAATAATTAATAATCCAAATTCTTCTGAAATTAGTTTTATTAAATTTTTTAATATATATTTAATTAATTATTAAAAATCATGGATTTATAGGAGAATTAGGAGTTAAAACCATAGAGGTTAAAAAACAAAAAAATTGAATTTTAGAAAAATTACAAATGTTTGAAAAAATCCAATTATGTTCACTTTAAAAAAATTCTCGTCAAAATTTTAATTACCTTTAAAAATAATAAAATCCTTCTTCAAAATTCAATTATTTTCAAAAAAAAAAAAAAAAAATTCTACGCAAATGTGAAATTAATTTTATAAATAATAAAAATTTCACAAGAATTCAATTATTTACAAATATTTATAAATTTCTTCGCAATAATTCAATTATTTTGATAAATAATAAAATTTTTTACAGAGATTCAATTATTGTCATGAGTAAAAGAACTCGTAATAGAATTTCAATTATTTTTAATACAATTTTACTCAAATTCTTTATAAGAATTTAATTTTGAAAATCATTCATTTAATTAATAAATTATTATTTATTTTTGTATTTAAATAATTGAATTCTCGTAGAATTTTCGCTAGTAAGAATTGATTTAGAAATGAATTTCAGTTAGAATTTTAGATAATAATTGAATATTAAAAGCATTATAGCATGAATTTTTAGAAATAATTGAATTTTGAGAAAGTTTAATTAATTTTTTTTTTAATTATTTCAAGTTTTTATTTTCTAAATATATTTAATTGAAGAATATTCGAATAATCAAAATTTCCTAAAATTGAACTGTAAACAAATGGATTTAAAAATTTTCTAGGAACTTTTGCAAAAATTAATATAAATAATAAATAATTGTTAATTTATTTCTTTCGAAGAATTTTAATAAAATTTTTGAAATTAATTACTTTTTTCGAAGAATTTACTAAAAATTGTATTAAAAATAATTGAAATCCTGTGAAGAATATTATTATTTATGAAAATAATTGAATTCTTGCATCGAATTTTATTAAACATTTTTTTTCATAATTGAATTTTTTTGAGAAATTATTACTTACAAATAATTTAACCCTCCTACGGTTTTATCATTTTTCAATTTTGTAGGAAATAAATTTATAATTTTGGTAAAATTAATTTTGACTAAGTATTTCATTTTTACTTTGATATTAACTAACAATTCTATGGAATTAATTTTTTTGAAAAAGTTTAATTGAATTTTGTTTGAAATTATTTATAGTTTTTCTTTTCTAGTTTATGTTTAATTGAAGAATTTCCGAATAATTGAAATTTCGTAAAATATATTGTAAACAAATAGATTTGAGTCAAAGAACGTTTTCGAAAATTATAAAAAATAATCGATTTAAAGAAGAATTTTAGTTAAAAATTCTAGAAAACAATAGTTGAATTGGAATCCTTCGAAAAAAATATTATTCTTCAACATTTTATTAAAATTTGTCAAAAGAATTCAATTATTTAAAATTTTGTGGATAAAATTCTTTATGAAAATTCAATTTTGAGAATTATTCAATATTATTCAATAAATTATTTATTTTTGTATTTAAATAATTAAATTCTCGTAGAATTTTCTGATAAAAAATTGAATTTGAAATGAACTTTAGTTAAAATGTCTAGAAAATAATATTTGAATTGAAGTCCTCCGAAAATATAATTATTTTTAAAAATTTTATTAAAATTTGTCAAAAGAATTCAATTATTTAAAAATTTGTGGATAAAATTCTTTATGAGAATTTAATTTTGAGAAACATTCAATTATTCAATAATTTTTTTATTTAAATAATTAAATTCTCGTAGAATTGTCTAATAAAAAATGATTTAGAAATTAATTTGATTTAATTACATTAGTTTTATTTATTGAAATTTAAACGAAATAATTGAAATGTAATTTAATTTAAAGGTTTCGGAAGTCCACCGATGATGGGAGGAAGTCCACCACCTTTAGGCGGAAATCAGATGCAAAAAGTATTTGGTGGAGCGACTGGTAGTAATACATTTGAATCTCTAGCTACTCAAAGTGGAGGTCTGTCTTTCAGTAGTTTGGCTCAAGGTTCACCGGTACAGCAACAGCAACAACAGCAACATCAACAGCAACAACAACAGCAGCAACAAAAACCGCCAGAATTTGCAGCGTGAGTATTTTATTTGTTTCTCTAAACTCAAAAATAGTTTTAAAAAAACCCTTTTCGCTAAATCTCAATTTTTCTTTTGCTTGTGTTTTCCAGGAAAAGTTCATTTTCGAGTTGGCGTTAATGGAGCAACAACAAAACAAGAACAATTAGTATTAAATAAATATTAAGAATCTGAGACTCGGCTTTATAAAGCTGACATTGAATATCGTTTTCGCTACGTTTTAAAATTCGAAATAAAACGAAGAGTCTATTTTATGAAAAATCTCTCTTAATTTCGGTAAGTTTTCTTTATTTTTTTCTTTTTGTTTCGAAAAATAACAAAGTAGAATTTTTTTTTATTAGCATTAAATTTCATTTAACATTTTTTTTTCTTTTTTTGCAAAAAATTGCAAAAAATTGAAGTTAAATTCCCCGTTTAATAGCCTTTGGTGAAATTGACACTTTAATTGGTTTACATAAATCAATAACACAGGGATCGTCTTGAGGTGAATGGGTGCACATTGTCGATGATGGGGCAATTAAAGCTAGGGAAATTTCAACGTTACACGCTTCCATCCAAACTTGATGGGAAAATAGAACAGTCGTTCGTAATCGATAGTCTTTAAGTTCACTATTTTGTTCCTTGAGATCGGTTTTTCTTGGCAATAGCAATTGCACCTGTTGATCGGGATGTCGTAATTTTATTCTCAATGTACTTGGATCGCGAAGATTGTGAATTTTTGCCGTCATTGGTATACCGAGTAGAAGACCGCCGGTGAATTTCAAAGCTGAATCAGCATCGCCACGTGGTTCTTCGATGATTGCTCGGCAAAATCTCGTCGATGCCGAAGGTCTAGGAAGTCTTTCGTCACCAATTTGAAGAGGTGTTAACAGCAGAGGCATGAGTAGTCGCGTCAGTGGGCCGGGTTTCACTTCACCGAGAGCTGGCAATTGAATTACTAGAGACTTGGAAAATGGTGGTAGTTTCATTGTGTCCTGTGGAAGAGCGTCTGCTTCGGAGAGAAATTGCCTTGTCAATGGGAGGGCACTTCCTGTCGCGCTTCTGGTGACACGGACCAAATCTATTGCCAGGGCTTTTAACCAGACGTCGGAAGCTAACGCCATGTCGACTTCACTCAGACCTGAGAATAATCTCTGTAATCTGAAAATAATTTTTTATTAATTATAAATAAATTATTTATTTATTTTTATAAATTTTTTATTATTATTAATTTTTTATTACAATGGCAATTCTTGGCAAAATATTTTTCTTGGCAAAAATATTTAATTTATTAGAGATAGAAATGAAAAGACCTACTTTTGCGCGTGTTGAAGAAGAAGGGAAATATTGCTCGAAGTGTTTGAACCGGATTTTGACGATGGTAGAGTTGATTGAGAGAAATCTTTGATTATCGATCGAATTAGAAGGAGACATTTAATGTATAAAGCGGTGAATGTAGCGGCTCCTTCCATTTGACGATCCATTTCGGCTAATCGTTCAACATCAACGGAAGCAGCCTCCAAAAGTTGCGTGTAGACTTTTCCTCCTGGTTTTGCTCTTTCTATTCCAGTGACCATTCTCTCGAGAAATTCCCTTCCGCGACGATCTCTAGATTCTTCTTCCATTTCCTCTTTTCCAAAGCCTAGTCTCTTGATTAAAACGGGAGTCAATCGGGGCACCAAATGTGGCATTGTGTCACGTAAATATAAATAGTGTTTAGCCGCATGTTCTGTGAATAAGGCGTGCATACTCGGACAATGCAGCGCTGCATTGAAAATTAAAACCAATGTACTCGCATCTATTTTCAATTATTAAGGAGAATAATACAATAAAAATAAAAATTACATAAATCGAATCAAATAAAATAAAAGGCAGGCTTTGCACTCATCTACTAAAACTAAAATTTTGAAAAAAATAGAAAAAAGTTGCTTTTAGTGTCACAAATTTAAAAAAGTATCCAAATAGTAATTTGGATACTTTTTTAAATTTGTGACACTAAAAGCTACATTTTTCTTTTTTTTTTTTTTTAAATTTGAACAACTTTAAATTTTAAATTCGCTAATAGTTGAAGTAAAATAATAATTAATTAATTATTAATAAAATATTCTTCTAAGAAAATATTCAAAATTTTTTTTGCAAGAATTCAATTATTTTCACAGATAATGAAATCCTTCGATGAAATTCAAATATTTTCAAAATCTATAATTTTAATAAAATTTCTCAAAAGAATTCAATTATTTAAAAAAAAAAACTGAAATTCGTTGCAGGTATTCAATTATTTTCATTAATAAAAAAAATTTTTCACAGGAATTCAATTATTTAAAAAAATTCACTGAAATTTCCAATTATTTTTAATACAATTTTAAATCAATTTCTCGAAAAATGTAATTATTTTCAAAAATTTTATTAAAATTTTTAGTAGAAATTAATTTTAGAAGAAATTAATTATTTTTTATAATTTTGATAACATTTGTTTACAAGAATTAAAATATTTTCATAAATAATTAAATTCATTGCAAGAATTCAATTATTTTTCATACAGTTTTAATTAAATTATTCTTTTAAATTTTCGTAGAATTCTAAATAAATTTAATTATTTACAAAAATTTTAATAAAATCCTTCACAAGAATTAAATTATTTTTACAATAAAAAAAAAAAAAAAATTTTCACAGAAATTTAATTATTTACAAAAATTTTAATAAAATCCTTCACAAGAATAAAATTATTTTTACAATAGTACAAAAAATTTTTCTCCAAAATTCAATTAAATTTAAGAAAATTCACTGAAATTCGTTTCAAGAATTCAATTATTTTCATAAATAAAAAAAAATTTTCACAGGAATTCAATTATTTTAAAAAATTTACTGAAATTTTCAATTATTTTTAATACAATTTTAAATTAATTTCTCGAAAAGTGTAATTATTTTCAAAAATTTATTAAAATTTTTAGTGGAAATTAATTTTAGAAGAAATTAATTATTTTGTATAATTTTGATAACATTTGGTTATAAGCATTAATTTATTTTCATAAATAATTAAATTCATTGCAAGAATTCAATTATTTTTAATACAATTTTAATTCAATTATTCGAAATAATTTAATTATTCTTTTAAATTTTTAAAAATTTCTTTAAACTAATTCAATTATTTATTATTCAATTATTTATTCAATTTTTTCACAGAAATTCAATTATTTAAAAAAATTTACTGAAATTCGTTGCAAGAATTTAATTATTTTCATAAATAAAAAAAAAAAATTTCACAGGAATTAAATTAAAGAATTCAACTATATTTATAAATAATAAAATTTTTCTCACTATTTCAATTATTTTTAATACATTTTTAAGTGAATTTTGATAAAATTATTTATAAGTTTTCAATTCTAAGAAATATTTATTTATTCGACTAATTATTTATTTTTGTATTTAAATAATTGAATTCTTGTAGAATTCTCTAATAAGAATTAATTTGAAAAATGAATTTTAGTTAAAATTTAATATTAAATGCGTTATGATATAAATTTTTTTATAAATAGGTAAATTTAAAAACCCTTTACATTAAAATTGTTTGAAATTTTAATTCCTGTGGAAAAATAAGTAAGTATTTATGTATTTAATTTAGAAAATTTTGAAAAAAGTTAGTCTTTTGAAAAATTTTTAATTTTAATTTTTTGAATATTAGTTAATTTCAAGTAAAAATTAAAAATATTTATTTAAATTTCCAATTATTGGAATTTTTTAAAAATTTAATTGAAATAAATTTTATATTTTAAAAAAACTTTATTTTTACTTTCAAAAGTTATTTTAAAATATAATCGAATTTTTGAAGAATTTTAACCAAAAGTTTGGAAAATAATTGAATTTCATAAAAATTTAAAATTCAAGTTATTATTAGGTTAAGAAAAAAAGTGAATATTTTTTATAGAAATCAGAGAAAAACAGAATCAAACGTTTTTTGGTAATTTTTGTAAATTGATTAAAACGTGTTTTTCAGTCGTCAAATTTAATTTTTCAATATCTACGTTTTTGAACTACTTTTTTCACTCTTAAAGCTACTATTTGGTACTTTTTTAAAATTAATTATTTGAGTGCGAAGCCCGCAAACGCAAAGAATAAAAATAAAACAAATACAATCCTTCCTTTATGAGGAAGCAAAAGTTACTATTTTCTTTTTCAAAAAAAAGGATACAGAGAGGATCGTCGACATCAGGTTCTGGAGTATCGAAAAACGGATGTCTACCCAGCATTTGCGGTACCAGTGGCAGAGTTAGGTAAGGATGAGAAGCTCCAAGTTCAGCTAGACAACTCCTTATACTCTCCTTGTCCTGTGGATATCTCGTTAAATTTTCCAAAAGTCTCGTGACACACATTTGAAGACAGTTTCGCGTTGCCAGACGACTCGCTCCTAATGTTGCATGTAAACCCTCTCGTACTTCGCCGGAAAAATCTTCTAAAGCTCCTAAAATCGTTTGCAACTGATCCTCCCGCAGTGTCACGCTCGCTGACATTTTTCTCAACGATTCAATGGCTTTTAATCGTACATCCTGAATTTCATCGTTAAACATATCGACCATAAAGTCGAGGGAAACACAAGCGATACAGGGTTGCTCCAATGACAGAGCACATAACGATTCCACGGCCGCTGTTCTCACCTAAATCAAATTTTAAAATTAGTTTTCTATTTCAATCCACAATTACGAAATTATTAACAGTTACGAAACTATTGATTTAATTTCTACACTCATTCTACTTCTATTTTATTCGTACCTCTAAATATTCATCTTCTAAACCATGAATGAATGCACCGCACGAACCGCTTCTTTCCTCAACTTCCGAGCTTTCGTCCTCGACCGTTTTTGGCTTTTTATCCAAGGCCTGCTCAATATAACGTCGAGAAACTCCTTTCATTGATCCTAATAAAGACATAGCTGAGGCACGAACACGAGGCGATAAATCCCCCATTAATCCACATATTTTCGAAAAGGCACTGTCAATCATTCGAATTTCCTCTCCCTCTTGTTCGGGAATCATTCTAGAAAAAAAAATGAAAATATTAAACCTATTTTTTCTTCATCTAAAAATTTTAATTCGAATAAAATAAAAAGTTGAATAAATTTTGAATTTGAGTAAAATTTGAATAGAAAAAGAAAATCGATAGAAATTAATTACTGATCGGGATATTCGTTCCCCAGGAGCCAGATTAATTTCAAAACGGCACGACGAACAATTTCGTAATCGTCCTTCAGTGCTCCGCAAGCTTCCGAAAAGAAAGTCGCAGGTAATCGACAACCCCTGTGCGAATGAAGTTCTGCCATTGACTCGAAGGCTTGAGCTCGTACCCTTGGATCCTGCGATCTCGCATAATTTCCCACCAGTGATAAAGTGTCGTCCGATACATTTGCAGAGAGATATCTTCCAATTATCATCAGGCATCTCGTCTGCACTCCGTGCCAAGTGTCCGGTAAATGTTCCCGAGCAATTTTCAAAACTGCGGTTCTGGAAATTTCAAGAAAAATAATTGTAAATTCCTTTTTTTTAAATTTACAAATTATTAAGTACGTTCTTTTTATTTGATTTACTAATTAGTTGACAAGTTTAATTATTTACGAAATTAATTTCTGTTTAGAAGAGAAATAGAAATATTTATTTACTGATTAAAACTGCCGAGTTTCAACAATGTTGCGAGTCCTTGACTCTTGACTCGATGTGATTCCTCATTTTTTAAGAGATTCGCCGTTTCGTTGATAATTCTCGCCTTTTCGGCAGGATCGTTAGTAACTTCGCCGAGTTCAGCGAAAACCCAGAGTATTTTTGTTCTTACAGCAGCTTCTTGTTCAATTGTAAATCTCTCGACTAGTTTTTTCACAGCTGTTGGCACATCGTCGGAAATCATTTGCGAAAGAATATCGGATATTCTCACGAGTAGTTGTAGAGCATCATTTCCACCTTTACATTTCTCCAGACATTCAATATAAACAAGAACAGAACTGCCATTGACACTTGAACCATTTCTACTCGATCCACTCAAGGAAAGACGTAGTGTTTTCAGCCTCTTTACTGGTGGTTCGTTAATAACCTGAAGAAAATTTTTTTTAGACAGTTTCGATAATGGAAAATAGTGTAATTTTTATAGACCTGGAAAAACTGAGAAATGACAGTGAATTAAGATATTTTTAGGATTTGAGAAAAAGTTTTATCTAAAAATCAGGGAATTCTTTCAATCTTTAATGGAGTAATTTATTTTCAGAGTTATTTTTTATGACCGTGAATTTTTTTTTATGAAAAAAGTGGCTCACCCTGAATTAAATAAAATATTAAAACTGACTTACGATAACTAGTAATGAATATATTAACAAAGATATTTATATGAAAACAAAGTAATGAATATAATAAAATTACTACTTACTTGGCTTTGCGTAAATTCCGCCAAAGCTCTCTTTTTTATTAATGCTGCCATTGCTTCTTTTTTTATTAATAATATTAATATTAAATAAAAGTTGATGATTTATTCATTTATTCCATTTATTCATTGCATTCATTGGCACGTCATTAATTTTCGTGCTTTTCGTATGTTAAGTTGTCAAACTCAATATTTAAATTACTGAGGTTAGAAAATCCATTTTTCTAGATTGATAATTGAAAAATTATATTCCAACAAATAAAATAAATAAACAATTATAACAAAAAAATTGTTTACAAAAGATAAAGAACGTAATTTAAGAGCACTAGAAAACTTAACCTCAATTTCAGTAAATTTGTTTTCGTCTGTCGCAGTTTTCTATATTATCATATGAGCAGGTCAAAAGTTTTCTGAATTGCCAACAGATGGCAGAAATCAAAATTCAGTGTAGCCAACATTGTTGCTTTGAATTCTTCTAATTATATTTCAATTATATTCATTATTAACAAAATTATTTTGAACACATTTAAATAAAATCGAGAGATAATTACTTTTAGTTAATTAATATTAATGTGTAATAAGATCTAATTTTTTCGCTCATAGGAATAATTTTAATATAGGGAATTTTTGTTACATTTCCAGGCCAGTGTTCATCAGCCAATCACTGTCAAGAAGACACTGGTCGTGTTTTGACTTGTTCTTTATTGTTAAAAAGTTCTCGGGACGATGATCAAGAGCATTTTCTTTTGTAAGCAAGGTATATTTTTCATATTTTTACAAATCTTCTAGACGTAATCTATCCTCTAATGAAGTAGCATGATTATTTATGAAAACAATGGTACAAAGTAACCAGTGGGAATGGATAAAAGTGGATTTATTTCTACACGTGTTGGAACATTGGTTGTTGTATCTGTGTATCTACTGATAATGATAAAACTTGAAATTTGTGTTAGATTTTTCCAATATTTTCAAAAGTATATTCTATTACAGAAATAATTTTGTTGGTTATGTTCTTTTTTTGCGCAAAAAATATTGTCGGTTTAGAAACAAAAATTGACAACAGTACTTTTCAAAATGGCGTCGAATTGCTTGACATTGTTGCAAATGGTAAGTGAAATTTTTAATTTATAATTAAACGTCATAAATTAAATTATAAATTTGATCAACAAAACTAACTTTTGTTTTCCAAATTTTGTTATAATTGCCAAAAAAAATGCGTAAGAAACATTTTGCTGTGGATTTTGCAAAAATTGATGTAAAAAAAAATATCTTCTAATCAAAAGTAATTTTTAAATTTAAAATTCTCTAATTATTCTTATTATTTATATACAATTAATTGGTCATGGTAATTAATTGTTAATTATATGTAAATTAAATTGATCATATGGTAAATTTAGAGGTTATGAGTTTCTTCAATCGCCAACAGATGGCACAAAAATCGGATCAAAATCAGAACAGCCAACATTGTTATCTCGCAATTCAAATATTTAATTAAAATTCAGATTATTTTAACTATATTTTAGAAAAAAAATTAATCCTTGGGAGTTAATAGGAGACATTGATAAGTAATTATTACCAATAAATTAGTGTATCCATAAGATACATTTTTAATCAGATGTTTAATTTTTATCTATATGAAGAATTTTGGGGTATTTTTTGTTTTGCAGTTTCCGGCCATGCTTTATTCGGCCAATCATGGTCGAGACGAAGGTTGTGTTTCTACTTGTTCGTTATTGTTGAAAAGTTTTCAGAAAACGATGATCGACATTTGTAATCAACATTCCCTTTATAATCCAGGTACGTTTTTCATATTTCTGTAAAGTTTTTTGACATAATTTTCAATCTAATCAAGAAATATAATAATTTATGTGCATATACAAAGAGACTCATCATGAAGTGTCTAAATGAATGATTATACAAAGTTAACCTAACCTAAGTCGTAGAATGTTGTGATTTATTATAAAAAGTGCAAAATTTTGTTGAAAATGAGTAAAACAGGTAAAATTTGTTATAATTTTTTGCATTATTTGGAGAAATATTGTTTGTAAAAAATTGTTTTCAGGTTATGTTTTCAATACAGCGCGTGAACGACGTGAAGTTATCGCAATATTGAGACAATGCTTTCAATATTCCGACAATTTTTTGTACGTCGACAGTCGTATTTTAAACAATTATTGTTCATTAAGCAGAAATTATATTATTTTCAAAAATAATAAAATCCTTCTCTAAAGTTAAATTATTTTCAAAATTTTTTAATAAAATTCTTTGCAAAAATTTCAATTATATCCAAAAATTTTCGTCAATTTATTGATTTTCAATATCAACGATTTTAATAAAATTTTCCATAACAAAAATTAAATTTTTGCGTGGAATTTTGTTAAAATTTATTTTATATAATTATTTTAAACAAATTTTAACAGAATTCCACGCAAACATTTAATTATTTTCATAAATTAGAAAAAATTTCACAGGAATTCAATTATTTACAAAAATTTTTAATAAAATTCTTTGCAAACATTTCAATTATTTCATAGAATTTTCATAGAATTTTGAAATTAAAATTTTTGAAAATCTGAATTTTTCATACTTTTAACTAACAATTCTAAAGAATTAATTTTTCTGAAAAAGTTTAATGGATTTCTTTTGAAATTATTTCAAGTTTTTATTTTCTAATTTATATTTAATTGAAGAATTTCCAAATAATTCTTATAATATAAAATAATAATTTAATAATATAATAATTATATAATATAAATATAATAATATAATAATTAATACTTTTGTATTCTGTTTTTAGAATTATCTGAATAAAAATGATTACGAGCTCCTGGTATTCAATAACTGGAAGCATTTCGATCAGCAATCCGTTCAAAAATTTGGTAAATTATTTTTCAATTCTTACAACCAATATTCTTAAAGAAAATTTGTTTATTATTTCCTTAAAGTATAAAATGAACAAAATGCAATTAATATATTTTTCTATTTATTTCATGTATGTCTAAAAAGTTTTTTTTTTACAATTTTTTTTTTTGCTTTTTACGATTGTACATAGGTTTAAAATTAAAAATATGCGCATGAAAGTAAAAATTTTTTTTTTCTTTTAGTTTTCTTCACGAAAAAAATTTAATGGCACACTTTTTTTGGAGAATCAAAATCTTCATTTCTACAATTGTTGTGGTTGAAGGATTAAGAACGCAGAAAATTTTGTAAACATTTCCGAAAGTTAATATGACGAGTTCCTTGTCGAGTGTATTCATCGAATGGTGAGTCCCTCCTGATTTCAAGAGTGGTCAGGTTGTAATAATTTTTTCTTTTATTCCTTCGTTTTATTTCTAAATTTCGATATCAAATTTTCATTTAAGTTCTTGGATTGTTTCTGTACAATCTATTTTTTTTTATAATCCAACACTTCGCTTATTCTCGAATTATTTTCAATAATATTATTTTATATTCAAGTCTTATTTTTATCGCTAAGTTTTTTCTCGAGATATCAAATTTGAACTTTCAACTTATTATTATTATTTATTTACATGATTAGAGACTAAAAAATAATGTAAAACTAACGATGAAATTCTGGTGGCATTGAGAGGGGAAATATTTAAAATCTTTTTATTTAAATTATTTAAAAAAAAATTAAATTATTTTTTTTTCGTATTTAAATAATAATAGTAATAATAACATTAAAGTAGAAAGATTCTTAAATATACGAGGAATAATGAAAGGCCTCTGTGATTAGAGAGCGTGACCATATATACGAGAGATACTGGCAAAAATCAAATTAATTATTATTGGAAATCAAGATGTAATTTCTTCCAACATTTTCTAGTCTTTTTCTTCTCTTCGTGAATTTGTAAACAGCTTGTTTTTCTTGTACGGCAGGTTCTCATTTTTTGAATCCCAATTTTCTAAGTGCTTTTAGATCCACATCACCGTAGTAGTCCTCGCTAGAGAAATTCATTTATTTATTTTTTTTTTATTCTTACTACCGAAATTATAATATAAAAATAATAAATAATTTAACAATTTGGCGGAAATGAAAATTATTTTAGAACTGGATTTCTTTATGTTAATAATTGGCATTTTATTCGAAGACATTAACTGATTTTTTTAGAATGAAAAATAGAACTTGAGAAAATTAAATAGCTGATAAATATTATTCATATTATTTATATTATTAATATTTTTTATTAGTATTTAATTTATTCACAGTCGAATATTTTTTTTTAATTTCAATTTTCTGATTATTCGAATATTTGAAATTCGATATTCATGTTGAAATATTTTCTCGACATATTTTTGGTTATATTTTGAGAATTTAAACTTTTTAGATAGTGAAATGAAAAGGCGAACGAAAAAGCAAAAGTTTTTACTTACCTTTCGATTATTTTATTGATTAATATTTTTGAATTTGAATTTTGATTTGAAATTTAACGAATATCTTGAGACGATCAAATAGTAAAATTTTAATTCGGTTCTGGAAATTAAATTCGTTAAAGTTTCTTATTTTTCACTTATTTCCTTGCATTTAGTTTAATTTTCTGAATATACATTCAAGTTGTCTCAATTTTTTTTTTGTTAATTAAAAATCAATTTAAGTACAAATCAAATTAAATAGAATTCAGAATTTATATAAAATTAAAAATTAAATTAAAAATAAAATTGAAAATAAAATTAAAAATCAAATGAAGTAAAAATTAAATTAAATAGAAATCAGAATTGAAATAAAATTGAAAATAAAATTTAGAAATCAAATTTTGAAAGGAATAAAATTAAAATCAAATCTTGAATTGAATAAAATTGAAAATCAAATGAAGTAAAAATTAAATTAAATATAAATCAGAATTGAAATAAAATTGAAAATAAAATTAAAAATTAAATTTCGAATTAAACAAAATTAAAAATCAAATGAAGTAAACAGTAAATTAAATTCAAAATCTGAATGAAATTAAAAATTGAATCAAACAAAATTAGAAATTAAATTAATAAAATTGAAAATAAAATTAAATATAACGAAAAATAAATAAAAAGCATTAAAAATGTTTTTTTTTTTGTTTTTTTAAAGAAAAAAGAAATGAATCATATTACGAGTGCAAATTGCATATTGTGAGTGTAATAAGCATGCGAGAATTAAAAAAAAAAAGATTTTTTTTCCAATTTTTAAAACGAAAAGTAAGTGTGTCAGGGTATATAGTTGCATTGTGCGGAAAAAGGTGGAAAGTTTAAGGACACCAAAGGTCAAGCACACATCAATCGATTTTTTAAAAAGAGATAAGACAGAAAATTTTTAAGATTTTTTTTATTTTCTCATTTTTTTTTCTCCTTACACTTAAAAAAAAAAAAATAAATGATAAAGGGTAAAAAAAAAGATTTTAACTTCTCGAGGGGGAGGTTTTTTTTTGGGAGGGGGGAAGATGAAATAAGTTGATGCCTAATTTTTGAGGCCAAGAGTACAAGTTTGGGGTGGGGGAAGGGGGAATTTGGTGATATTTTTATAATTTATAATTTATTGAAATAACAACAAAAAATAATCATTACATTTTCCCCTCGAATTATCTCGATTCTGAGTGAAATGAAAACGAAGAAAACATTTTTTTTTAAATTAATAACAATAGTAAAAAAAAAAACTTAATTGTTATGAAATTAAATAATTTTCTGTACAAGTATTTTTTTTATAAAAGATATTTTTTGTGCAAGTATTTTTTTTATAAAAGTATTTTCTGTGCAAGTATTTTTTTATAAAAGATATTTTTCGTGCAAGTATTTTTTTTTATAAAAGTATTTTCTGTGCAAATATTTTTTTATAAAAGTATTATCTGTGTTTTTTTTATAAACGTATTTTCTGTGCAAGTATTTTTTTATAAAAGTATTTTCAGGAATTTTTATTTTATAATAATTATATAAAATGTTTTATAAAATATTTTTTTATAGAATCATTTTTTATCAACAAATTTTTTTTTATAAAATAGTTGCAAATATTTTTTTTTTATTGAGAAAAATGAATAGTTTCGTGTTCTATTTCATTCAATGATCGGATTTCCAAAGAATGGGAAGGAAATGGTAGAAAAGAAAAAAAAATAGTCGGGACTTAATGGGGTCATTGAAAATTGTTTAGGGCTCAGAAAATGGAGCATTGGGAAAATCATTTTCTATTTTTCCTTAAAAATCTCGCTTCCTTTCTCTCCCTCTCTTTCACTCGTGTCGTCTTTTTCTCTCTCTCTCGCGCTCTCGCTCACTTTCTCTCAGAAATTCTCACTCTCACTTTTATTATTTCTGTGACTACTGGTACCAAAAATTAGTATTTTTTTTTTATCTTTTTTGGTACATATAGTACTCTTGGCTCTCGGATGATGTAGATGATAAATTGATAAAGTCGAAAGAGCGCATTTTAATGTTTTTTTTTTTTTTTTGAGAAAGGTTTATTCCTGATTGGATGGTGAGGGCCTGGCGGCAATTGGTGTGGGCCTAGGCTTTGAATGGGGTTTGCCTGTGTTCCTTGTTTCACCAGAGCCCTGAAGTCCAGCGAGCAGCTCACTCTTCCTGATGCTCTTCAGGTCCAGATCTCCATAGTAATCCTCACTGTGAAGCAAAATCGAGAAATCGATGATGAAGACCAATTGGTCTTAATTTTTCATTCTTTCGATTCGATTTGCTCCTTTCGCATGATTTTTTTTTTTTGGGTGGGGAAGGGACTTTTCTTCCTTTCGTTCTTTTTTTCATTTTGAAATCTCTTTTTGTTTTCTTTTTATTTGTGAATAAAATTATGCGGTGAATAAGGGATTTTATTAAAGAAATTAATCTTTATCGTTTTTAATTTTTTGTAAAATTAATAATTAATCTTTGGAAATGACTGACTAAAGAAAAAGATTTGAAGAAATTAAAAATAATTTTTTGGAGTATTTTTTAACTTGAAACAAAATTATAGAAATCTAAAATAAAAAGTTGGAATTTTTATTCACTTTAATTGGGAAATTTGGCTAATTATTAATTGAGTAATTAATATTTAGAACAATTTTCTATTTTTCGTGACAAAGAATCGATTTTTTAAATATTGAAATTTCTAAAAATCGGAGGTTCAAATATTAAAAAGAAATGGAAAATTAAATTGAAAAACAATTTTTTAACTCGATTGAATTGTCGTAAAATTTTTTATAGTTTTTAGTTTTTTTTCAGTTACAATTGAAACAAAATGAAAACTATTTTGAAAGTAATAGTAATTAGAGAAGGATATATATATATATATATATATATATAATATACTGAAGGAAATTAATTACTATCAGTTCTGGTAGAATTATAATATTTACAAATTCGAGATAAAAATTTATTTGAATCAAAAATTATTAATTTTGTAAAAATTAAAAAGAAAAAAAGAAAAAGAAAAAAAAGAAAATTAAAAAATATTAAATATTGATAATATTAAAAATATTAAAGATATTAAAGATATTAGAATAAAAAATATTTGTTTGAATAAAATGTTGCTTTTTTTTAATGGAATTGAATTTCGTTCTTTTTTTTTAATAAATTTAGTAAAAATGGTTTTTTCATATAAAATTTTCGCACTCTTATTACTTTTTTCGAATCATAAACAAATTAATAAATTTTCTCTTCAGTATATTTGTTTGTTATAAACAATTATTAAAGAACAAATGAGTATAAATTTGTTGCAAATGCGAGTTATGTCATTCCAAAGAATTTTTTCCGTTAAAGTTAAGATTTAATAATAAACATTAAACAGAAATCGTGTTACATTCAAAAAAAAATTTGAAACGGTTGGGAAAAAATCATCGACAGATGTTGATTGACCTCTCGTTTGATTATTTAAAAGAAAAGTAGAAAAGATTAAAAGAGAAGTATTTCTAAAATTATACTTTCAAATTTGAGAATTTAATTTCTTTTTAGGAAAACTTAGATAAAAGTAACTCCTACAATTTTAATCGAATTATTAATTTTTATTAATTAATAATAATTATAAATAATAAATAATAAATAAATAAATAAATTATGAATAAATAATAAATAAACAATAAATAATTATTAATTTATTAATTCAAGAAGGAGCATTTATTTATTTATTAACTAAAGAAGGAAAGTTTATTTATTCATTTTTATTGCAATTTATTGGAAATTAATCAAGATTTTTGGAGTTACTTTTTTCTACTAATATTTTTAGATTCGAGTTAGACACATTCGGTTAATTTTTTTATTCATTCTTTTGTGATATCCCTTATTTACCAGCAGTTTCGATAGGAATTTTTTTGTTAAATAAATGGAATAAAATTTGATAAAATAGAGAAAATTCGGACACGCAAGTTAGGTGCATAAAGAGATTGAAAGGCAGAAATAGTTAAAGAAGTGTTTAGTCGAAAGCTTAATAGAAAGAAGTCATGACAGTCCCACTTCATACCATTGTCATGCATTTTCGGTTCTTCAGTTAATGTCTCAATTTTTCTTTTTGAAAATTATTTTTTTTTCTCCTCGTGGAGGAAATTTTTTATTTGTTATTGTGAAATTAAAAATTAATATTAACAGAAAATTAATATAAATCGAATACTAATATTAATCAAAAATTAATATTCGAAAATTAATATTAACAGAATATTAATATTAATTGAATATTAATTTTTAATTGTATATTAATTTTTAATTGAATATTAATTTTTAATTGAAAATTAATATTAACAGAAAATTAATATTAATCGAAAATTAATATAAAAAATAAAGTTTTTCAGAATACTTTTTGGGAGATAAATAAAATTTGGAATACTAGTAATAATTTGGAGGATTAACTCACCATCCGGGAACGTCTTCAGGGTCTTCGCAAGCGCCACTTCCGTCAGAGTCGCCGATTTTGAAAACGGTACCAATTGGACATCCGTATTCTCGGGCAATTCCCTCTAAGCAAATGTAGTATTTTCTGCAATCATCTGGATGCGCGTGTCTCGAGAAACTTCCGGAACTTCCACTCACTTCTCCAGCAGCTGGACACGTGAATCCTCCAGCAATTTCTGTTTTTAGGAAAAAAAGAATTCTTCAATTACAAATCTTCTTTATTCACTTTGATTTGATTTTCGATTACTTTGGATAATATTTGAATTAATTTTTAAATTAATTTTATTTAAATTGATTTTTAAATTAATTTTATTTGAATTGATTTTTAAAATAATTTTATTTGAATTGATTTTTTGATTAATTTCATTTAAATTGATTTTTAAATGAATTTTATTTGTTTATCAAATTTTCACCTTCATTTTTGCATTCAGGGACTTGATCGGCCCACATGCAAACTCGAGCCTCACGATCGTAAGCTAATCCGGGACTGCATTGATACCTAGAGGCCTCGCCGTTCCAACAATTCCAAAAGACGTCACATTTTTTGTCATCGGGGAAAATACCGTAGAGTCGTGAACAATGTGGAGTGGTAATTGGTGGTTCCAATTGTGTTCTCTCACCGCAATCAACATTGTGTAAATAATCACAATTTTCCGTGAGGAATTTCGAATCGGATGCATCGAATGCCAAACCATTGCCGCATGTCTTTAATTCGGCAACATTGCTATCACATTTCCAATATTTGTCACATGAAGTGTGATGTGGATAGAATCCAAAATCATCTGGACATTTGAAACCCTCCTGCGCCCTTGCACCTGGAAAATAAAATGACAAATTTTTCGTCAGTTTCGATAAAATGCTAAATTTTTCGTCAATTTCGATAAAATAGAATATTTTTTCTATTTTCTATTTCCTATTTTCTAGTTTCTAGTTTCTAGTTTCTATTTTCTTGTTTCGTTTTTCGTTTTATTGAAGTATTCTGATAATAAAAGGTCCGTTTAATCTATTTACAGGGCTCGAATTAGGTTCGTAAATCCCTAAAGGTCCGTAAATTTGCTTAAAGTCCGTAAAAGTACGATTTTTTTAAAAAAAAGTTCCGTAAAGTCCATAATTTGATTGAGAAAAAACGAAAAGGTCGTAAATTCTAAGATATAATTTGGAGAATTTTTGAGAAACTACAAATGATTGAAGAAATTCAATTATTTTCAAAAGAAATAAAATTCTTCACAGACATTCAATTATGTTCAAAATTTTTTTTAAATTTTCGTCAAAATTTCAATTATTTTTAAAAATAACCAATTCTTCTCCAAAATTCAATTATTTTCAAAAATTTTAAGAAAATTCTTGGCAAAATTTCAATTATTTTACAAAATTTTCCTCAATTTAATTGATTTTTAAAATATACTATTTTAATAAAATTTTCCAACAGAATTCAATTATTTTAAAAAAATTTAATAAAATTCTACGCAAACATTTAATTATTTGCATGAATTAGAAAAAATTTTACAGGAATTCAATTATTTACAAATTTTTTATAAATTTCTTCGCAATCATTCAATTATTTTCATAAATAATAAAATTTTTACAGGGATTCAATTATTTTTGAAAATAATAAAATTCTTTTTAGGAATTCAATTATTTTCATAAATAATAAAAAGCCTTGCAGAATTTTAATTGTTTTTAATTATTTAATAATTAATTTTAATCAAATTCCTTGAAAAATGTAATTATTCTCAAAAATTGTATTAAAATTTGTCAAAAGAATTCAATTATTTAAAAATTTATTGATAAAATTCTTTATGAGAATGCAATTTTTAGAAACATTCAATTATTCAATAAATTATTTATTTTTGTATTTAAATAATTAAATTCTCTTAGAAGTTTCTAATAAAAATTGATTTAGAAATGAATTTTACTTAAAAATTCTAAATTCAATAAATTACTTATTTTTGTGTTTAAATAATTAAATTATCGTAGAATTTTCTAATAAAAATTGGTTTAGAAATGAATTTTAGTTAAAAATTCTAAAAAATAATAATTAAATTGAAATTCTCCGGAAATATAATTATTCTTAAAATTTTTATTAAAATTCGTCAAAAAAATTCAATTTTTAAAAAATTTGTGGATAAAATTCTTTATAAGAATTTAATTTTGTGAAACATTCAATAAATTATTTACTTTTGTATTTAAATAATTGAATTCTAGTAGAATTTTCTAATAAAAATTTATTTAAAAATGAATTTCAGTTAAAATTTTAGATTATAATTGAATATTAAAAGCAATAACGTGAATTTTTAGAAATAATTAAATTTTGAAATGGTTTAAAATTAAAATTTTTGAAAATCTGAATTTTTCATATTTTTAACTAACAATTCTGTGGAATTAATTTTTGTCAGAAAGTTTAATTGTAGATTTTTTTTGAAACTCTTTGAAGTTTCTATTTTCAAATATATATTTAATTGCAGAATTTCCGAATAATTGAAATTTTGTAAAATAAAATTTTCAACAAATGATTTTGAAAATTCTCAAAGAACTTTTTCCAAAATTGTTAAAAATAATGCATTTATAGAAGAATTTTAGTTTAAAACAGGAAAATATATTTAATTTTGGAAAAGTTACAAATTATTGCAGAAATTCAATTATTTTTAAGAATATTCTTCGCAAAAATTAAATATTCGTCAAAAATATTAGGGATTCAATTATTTTCACAAGTAATAAAACTCACCGCAGAATTTCAATTATTTTGAACACAATTTTAATTTTAAATTATGTAAATAATTGAATTCTTGTGACGAATTTTATTTAAATTTTTTTAAAATAATTAAATACTTTTGGAGATTTTTATTTGTATACTGATTGAAAATAATTAGGTTCCGGCGAAGAATTTTATTATTATTTATAAAAATAATTACATTCCTGGAAATAATTTTATTACTTTATAAAAATAATTTAATTCTTTTGCGACGATTTTTATTCAAATTGTATTGAAAAATAATTAAATTCTTGGAAATAGTTTTATCATTTATAAAAATAATTAAATTCTTTTGAGGAATTTTATTTACCTAGAATTGAATTATTAAAGATAATTAAATTTTCGGCAAAGAAGTTTATTATTTTTTGAAAATAATTGAATTCTTGACAAGAGTTTTATTAAAATTTTTGAAAATAATTGATTTTTTTGGGAATTTCATTTAGATTAGATTGAAAGTAATTGAATTCCGGAGATTTTTTTTATTTATAAAAATAATAATTGAATTCCAGGAAAATTATTTTATTATTTATAAAAATTATTAAATTCCAGGAAAATAATTTTATTATTTATAAAAATTATTGAATTCTTGCGAAGAATTTTATTAAAATTTTTGAAAATACTTGAATTTTTTTTGGGTAATTTCATTTATATAGATTGAAAATAATTGAATTGAAAATTTTTAATTGAACTGTATTTATATTATTTGAAGTTTTTATTTTCTAATATATATTTAATTGAAGAATTGGATAATTGGAAAATTATTTTATTATTAGTATAATTGGAGTATTAGTATATTATTGGAGAAATTGATAATTGAGAATTGTATAATTTTCCGGTTATTCGTTTTCTAAGTTCATTGAATCGTCACGAAGAATCTCGTTATTAATTAGTAATTATTAATTCAATAATACGAGTAATTCTATAAAAATCTTGTTGAATATTAATAGTATTCGTCTATCTCTCGTTGCCATTCGACTTTTCATTTTTCCTTTTTCTTCTCACGAACTTGTTTCGAAAGTGTATTTAAGGAGATGAATCTATGCACGTATATGCTAATTATTTTTCCCCGTTTCACGCATCGATAGACACTTTTCAAATAATTTATATATCAATGGCAAAGAAAAATGTATTATTTCGTTTTATTTTCATTGAGAAAGTTTTGATTAATAGTATTTATCGTACTGATTGAAGAAAAAATTTCTTATCGTGTCAAAAAATATTTTCTGCTTTCTTTCTATACTCGACTAGTTTTTTTTCTTTTTCACTTCTTTTTTTATTTGATTTATTTTTTACGTTTTTAAAATTTATTTATTTATTATATTTTTTATATTAAATGGAAGGTAATTGCTATATTGTATTTTTTATTTATTTTCTTTTTTAATTATAAAATAAAATAAATTTATTTTATAATAAATAATAAGAGAAAAATGATGAAAAATAATAAAAATTTATTTTATTTTTATAAAATAAAATAAATCAAAAATAGAATATTGTCAGAAAAATAAATAATTATTTTTGGGGGGATTTTCTTTTGAATTTGTGCAATTTTTTTCGAGATGGAGAGTAAATAAATATCTTAATAACCTTAGTAGGTATAAAATTGATCTCTGAATAGTTAAATGTCTTATGTAAGAGTACAAAGACTTTCGCTATGGACTTTCACTTGGGACCGAACCAACAACTTGTCTCAGCATCCCGTTCACTTGGGTCCCATACGAGAAACATTTTTACTTTCATTTTTCTCTTGGTCCAGCCTTCGTTTCACTGATCGAAGGACCAAAATCAGGTTTCGTGCCCCAGTTTTCGACCCTCGTTTATAAATATATATTTTCTCTGTATCTTTCATTTTTTTGTCTCCTTTTTCTCCTTTCTTGTCATTATAAAAATTTTCGATCTTTTTTTCAACTTTTGGGTTCTAATTGTCCCTCTCATTGCACGCTTTTTAATTTTGTGGTTCATTTCCTTTTTTTATTTAATTAAATTCTCACTTTTTTCAACTTTGTAGTTTCCTTTTGATTATTTTTTTTTTGGTAGTTTAAATTATAGAAAAATTTATGGTTAAATTGTGGTAAACAATAGGATGGAAAAAAATTGTCTGAATCAAATAATCGATCACTTGGCATTTGTCAAATAATTATTTATACTTGAGTGAACAATTTTTTAAATTAAATTGAGAAAATTTTAGATGAACTTTAGTCACGAGGCGAGTACTATTTAATTAAATAAAAATAAAAAAATAAATAATTGATTTAAATAAAAATTATTTTTTAGATAAATAATTGATTTAAATAAAAATTATTTTCTAGATAAATAATTATTTACAGGATAAAAAAATTATTCGTTTGCTGTAAATAATTTATTTATTTGATAAATAATATTTTAGTGTAAAAATAATAAATAAAATATTAATATAAATAATAGCAAAATAAAAATAAAAACACTAATAATAAAATAAAAAAGTAATTATTTACCTATATAAATAATTATTTAAATTATAAAAAAATAATATTTTGTAGGAATAATTATTTTGACAAATATTATTGAAGTACAAAAATAATAAATAAAATAATAATATAAATAATAATAAAAAAAGAATAATAATAATCAAAGAATTACTTATTTCATAAAAAATATTTTTCTTATTTTATTTTCATTTATTTATTTATTTGATAGTTAAGTGATCCGTTATTGTAAACATTTTTTTCAGTTAATAATTTAATTACCAAATTCGATAATTTAAATTAATTTCAAACAGCTCCGAAAATTTTGAACGAAAAAAAATTCGAATTTCTATTAATGAAATTAGTGAATGAAAATTTTCTTCTTTTGTGGGAGAGGGAAATTTTTTTGTTTAAGGAAGCGGAAATGGTCAAGGTTGTAATATTTTTGAAATCAGGAATCACGAGGGAATTTGCAATTAAATGATACATTCGTTGAAGGTCAACTTCGTGATCTTTTGTAGCAAGTTGTTATAAATATATATATAGTAAATTATCATTGAGAGAAAGGATTATATACTCGTTTATTTATATGTTACCGCGTGAGATTCTTAAAGATAATGTG